GAGTCTTACCACCTTGCTTCCTTCCACCCTCTTCTGCCCACCTGTCTTCGGCGCTCACTATATCCCCTTGCGTCGCGATCTTCTCGTCTAACCAGTTGACGATCGTATGGTTCAGGCACCGTGAAAAAGATGATTCGACAGAAAAAATCTCAAGGGACTGAAAGCACTTGTTCTTCTTTAATCTGCGAGATATTGAACTGTAAGAAGAATCGTTTCTTAAATGATCGACGGACAGCACATGCATAGATAAACTCGCATGTTTAACGAAAAACTTTATGATATATGCGAGAGAAAAACGATTAATCAGATATATGAAAAAATGAATTTTTTTTTTATATTGACAACTCGAATCAAATATCTAGTTGAAAGTTCAGAGAGAACTTAATGTCGGTAGCATCCTGAATGACAACCAGGAGGAATATATATCGACGCGCGATCCCGAGGGATGTGTAGTTTCTTACGCAAGAACAGGACCGCACACAGCCTGATTTCAAAAGACAGCTTCCCACTTCTCTCTAGAGGGCAGTTTTAAAATTCAACCCCATGCGAAGAACTAGGGGGATGTATGCTACACGACGTTCATATCAATCCCAAGGATCGATATAAAGTTCTGATAGCTCGAGATATGATGAAAAATAAAAATATGGGTCTTTTGTATTGTCGTTATGTCGGGAAGATTTGTCACTATTCTGAAACAATTATGTTTATAAAGTATCCGTAATTCCGCGACACTTTGATAACGCCAGGATGAGACGATAAAAATAATGCTCTTCTCCGCAATGTAAAAAAACATCTGATTAAAAGGCTGGCGATACAGATCAATACAACCATCCGGAGTTAAATTGACAACATAATTCTTTTCATGGAACGTTTTTACTTCCCTGTTTTCCAATTAATCACCTCCATGCACGACAAAATCATGGATTCTGGGTTACGTTCGAATGCATGTTGCGCGTATCAGGAGCGGCTGGCCACGTCGCGCTAATCGTATCGATCGAGCACTCTTAATCCATTAATGAACTTCCCAGGCTCGTTTTACCCTGGGTATCCGGGCTTTTCGCAGGCGCCGTCTGTATCTGTTACATCCCGCCGTTAAGTGTGTGCGTGTGAGTATGCGCCTTTGCTTCACGTACGGTCGCTGACAAAAGTTCAAGTTAAAATTGCTCGAATCGCTCGGATCTACTGCTTACAGATAATCTTACGTCTCGAAACATTCATATCTTTTATTATGCAATAATATACCGAGAGAGAATCAATTATATAATTTCTTGGTATTTTAAAATATATTAAACGTTTTTTTATAAACTCTAAGATATTTGAGAAAGTTCAGGCTATTCTCTAGACACGCTAATGTCTCCATTCGTTTGTCTTACAAATGAAACTTTGCATTTTTTCATTCTGCTTTAGATTTTAGAGATTAACGCGGCTACTTTTGGCCAAGACTCTACAAGTACGCGTATATATGTATTTGTATAATGCGACACTTTGCAGACTCTTGTTGGTTGACAGTGATTTTCTATAGAATACAAAACTGTCGTTAGACCCTTTTGCGAAAAGGTCTGTCCCCAACTCTCGTACGTAGCTCACCTAAAACTTTTCCTACGAACCGCACACGAGGGTGTAATGCTGTACATCGAAGGGTTAGAAATTTCTCGTCACTTTGCTCCTCTTTCCCTCCGCTCGTTTTGTCTTTCTTTCAATCATGTCTGATGCTTCGTTACAATTTACAGAATAACATTTCTCGAGATATTTTCTCTTTACAATGAAAATCAAATCAATTGGCCAGTGTAACTTTCAGAACGTCAGAAGTCAGGCATTGATTTAATACTTTGGCATGAATTGAAAACAGAAAATAGTAAAATCACAATCAATTTCTAATGACACGTTAACTCTATACTGATTATAAAATAATAATGAAGAAAATATATTCTTGTCGGATTTTGCGTTTTTTGCATACAGGACTATTCGCCCGAAATCCTTTTTACAGAGCCGCCAAACAAGCGATAAGTCTCTTACGCCGTCTTCGTCCTCGATAACAAATTCCTCAAATATTTATCTGCCTTGTACCCTCGAATTTCTCTAGTACGTCGCCCCAAACGCCACTTCCGTTTCACACTCGGCGAATGTGTCAATTCTGACGCCTATCGACGTATGACAAACACCCTTCTCGTCTCCCGCTAGCTGTCGTCTTGTCGTCTCTGACAACCCTGACAATCGGGACAAAAGAACGATGTGAAAGGGAGAGAGTTGGGAGAGTAGAAGATACTTGTTTCATTGTGTCAGAGATTCGTTATTTATAATGTAGCTTCAATAAAAAAAATATTAATAACCAGTGCCAATTAAACTCAGATTTTTTTACTGATATTCTTCTTTCGAAAGTTGATCCGTGTCTTTCGCATTTTAATCAGCTAATCTTTTGGAGAATTATGAATATATATATATATATATATATAACTAGACAAAAGTTAGTTTATACATTCTGACCGCAAAGTCGACGAAAGAAATTCCATTCGTCTTCACAGGACAGCGAACTCTCCGTCGATTAAATCGAATGTTCGTGACATGTCTCGCGCGCCGGCTGCATGCAATTAATTTATTTTTCCCCGCGCTCGAGCGTTAATTGTTAAACTTAGATGGGCGGTCGTCGACGATCCCGCAGTTAGACTTCGAGATGGAAAGAAAGAGACGACGAGCTGCTATGGAGAGAGAGAAGCGGAGACAGAGATGCGACTAGACGTCCGACGCGGACGGGACGGAGAAGGACGAAGAGGGATGATTGCAGAAGGAAGACGATAGCAACGACGGCGGGACGGAGTCGCGAGGAGGGTTACTGCTAGGCCGGCGGCAGACCGAGACGAGAGAATCGAGAAGTTCCGACGAGAGGCGGGAAGCCAAGGCACGACGCGACGGGCAGATTGGGTTACAGAGATAATTAGAACGATGATCGGGGGCAATGTACGCCTCGTTGAACGATTCTTTTTAGTCGTTCGACACACCGTCGTCGGCGTGTTGGTTTCGCATTTTCAGAGGCGAAGCGATAAAGGCGTGAAAGTGCCCACTGAAGCAAGATACGATCGTAGAGCGTGTCGTGTCCCGGGAATCAAGACGGCGCGTCTCCTCGTCGATAAGTCTCAACGGCGGAGATATTACGGCACCCCAGTGACACATTTTTATGCGCCGCAGCTACGAGGTCGTCGTGTGATTGGTCGTTGAAGCCGGCACCCCCGTGAGATCGCTTGACCGGAAATGGGTAGCCGTCGTAAAAGCATCTACGGCACGTTCGTCCGACCGGAATATTCATCGCAATTCTTCGCGAGGACGATTTTCCCCGGCAATCTTCCTCATCGGCAAGACTTTTGGGAACTGCCTGCCCGGAGATGGAAGTCGGCGATACCACGCGAAAGTCCGTTATCAGTAGCGAAAATCTATTTTCATTCTAACTTCTCGTGTAGTTTTTAGATTACGCGCTCCGCGCTCAACGTCGCGCGCTTGACTTTGCTCTATTTGCGTTGAGGGACATCTGAATATTTAACCGGCCCTTCAGCCAACCCCATCTCTTTCGCTCCTCCGCAAACCCCGCTCTCTCGTCCGACTCTCAGTCCCAGTTGCGGTGAATTATTTAACACCTCCAGGGAGACCGGTTACCTATGCGAACCGACGTGTCAGCGAAATTTCAGTATTCTTTGTTTATGTTTCCACGTCACGTACTGTATCAATAGCCACGCAACTCTGAACACCGTTGTGCCACAAACTGCAGTGATAACATCAGGAATATATAAACCGGGATTAAGTATCATAAATTTAATTTATTATGCATAATTGGATAAAGGTGCAAATTAAGCAATTACTTGAGCAATGAAAGAATATCATGAAAGAAAATTATTATCGAACAAATTTATGCAAATCACGATATTATATTTGCAATACGGGATTTTCTTGCGTCCTGTACATATTAATTTGAAGGAAGAAAATGTTAAATTCAATTCTGTTAGCATATATTTTTATCAGTGGCACAGAAATACTGAAATGTTCCGGTCCAAATAAGCCGAAGACGAGGTGGGAAGATACTCGCAAGAATTTCCCAATTCTCCCCACGTCGAAACCAACTCGGTAAATGCACACGGCGATTGTTCGACAAATAGAGGTCGGGAGTAAATAATGTGCAAACACAACAACTCCTGCTATGTATCGAAAGACGTAGGTTGCCTACAGCTGTGCATACATTTTATGTTCAAGGAAATCAGAGTACAAAATGCAATATTTTATATTAAGTTAAAAAAAATGTCTGGCAAAATATTCAAACATTTAAATATGTACATATCCCGTTTACAAGATAAAATATCGTACATTTGGAAAAAATATCATAGTCTCTGTAACAAGTCCCTCGAATATGGCGCCTCTTACGGAATATGATAGTACCATATAAGCATACTTCGTATGATACTGTCGTACTCATCGAACGATGTTCGAGCTCGTACTATTCAGGAAAACTTCTTACTTTTCTTTTACTGATAATACTTTTTTTCCCTTTTATTTTTTTTGTTTACAAAAGATACACGAAGTGAAATCTGTTTAATGGAATATTGACTTTGCAAAAACATTGCAATGTATATTTTACAATATTAATTAGTTTTTTAAAAAATAATTGATTTATTATTTAAATAAGATTATTTTTTAAATGGGGAGTACATTAAAAAAAATTATGAATTTTTCTTAATGCAATGATGGCAATAAGAGGAATAGATATATTTGTCACAAAAATATGGATGTGCATGATTCTGTCTGGTTTAGTCGTCGTCATCGTCGTTGTCGTCATTTTCTTTTCTGCATCTTTCTTAAATCTTTATCAAATTTATTTTTAAATTATTAGCGCAGTGATAGAATCGGTATGGTTTGTACATTTCAGCGATGTATCGTATGAAGATTAGGTGTGATCTTGAATAGAGTGCGCTAGATTGTATTTCTCTTTCCTTTCTTCGCTGTAGAATCTTCAATTCCAAGCGAACATTGCGAACTCAAATGATACATGTGAACGTGAACTGTCATTGATTTTAAGATGACGCCGTCAATCTTGAATACGTCACGCTCCACCTGTCGCAGTGACTGTGATAAGCAGGCAGGCATATAATTACAGTCCAAAGAGTTATGCGGTACCGAGGCAGATAACGTGACTTATCGTACCGTAGCGCAGAAGCAAATTCGATTGTCGTTTGGTTGAATGCAGTGAGTCGACAATGGCGGAGGGACCAGAACTGAGTTTTTTCGATTTACGTACTGTACACGATTCTTTTGACCGAGCTCTCGTGGAAAATGATGATATAGATCTAAAAGCCTATCTAGAGGCTTACAATGAACTGTACAAGTAAGTCATGTCGCTTATATCTTCCCTTCTTTTGTCATTATTTAACATAACCTTGTCACAATGCACAGATTTCAAGTTCATTACAGTCGACATTCGAATTATCAAAGTGAGATAAAAAATAGATATGCCACATTAACAAGCTAAATGAAATCATTTTACATTATTAAAACAAAAATGTTTCTTTTATATTATGCATTATTTTAACATATGCATAATTTATATATATTATTTTTATCCAAAATGTAATAAAGATTTGCGGGAATCTTACGTTAATTGTAATCACGTGTAATCACTGTGCGGCAGTTCACTCTCAAAATTGGACAGAAACGTTTTTGTAGTGTTTATTCTATATTGATTTGTAGTATTTTCTGTGCCTCCTGGCATTTGTTCTTGGTTCTTGTAGCCTTTTTCCTGATAGTTCTTTTGTTATTATCAAACCATATGTTCGCATTATATTATAACCATAATTTTCTGATATTATCTTGGGATCAAATTTCTTTTCTGTTATCTGTTATTCATTATCAAGACAACAGATTAATCATGTTATCTTTTTCTAAATCTTTGGAGATTGTGTCATATAATGTGTTGCTATGCGCGCAGATTTTTTCAGCTAATGGGCAGTGTCTTCAGTTTTGTCTCATCTGATCTGAAGCAAAAGATAGACATCTTGATTGATTTGATAAACAAAGATGACCAGAATTACAGGACTATTAAATCTATGATCGAATATGAAAAGGAGAACAAATTGTTAGAAAAGTCTGACTTTGTCAATGGCTCACGTACTTTATTACGACTACATAGAGGTTTAGGTATTATATCGTTGTCCGCTAATTTTGTTTAGAAATGCACAGTTTATCGACATTATGGTCTTTTAGATTTTATTAAAGAATTCTTGCGACAACTGGGTGATCTCTTGGACGCTGATAAAACGTCTAGTTGTTGTCAAGACTCCTATAACAAAACCCTGGCCAAGCATCACCCGTGGGTGATTAGGAAAGCTGCAATAGTCGCCATGTACACTATGCCTACTAGAGAGGCGTTGTTTAAGAAGGTAAACGGGTTGACAGAATGCTTTTTGGGGTTGTCGAATCACTGTTTTCACTTATACCTGATTCTCAGGTTTGTGGTGAAAATGTCCAACGAAACATAGACGTCCTGCCGAAAATGTTGGAAGTGACTGCCGACGTGTTCAATCGCACTCACAGTATTTATGAAACTTACCAGCTACATGCTCTACCATAAGCGTAAAAAAGAATGAGAACACTTCGTTCGATTTGTAGCTTTGCGAAGCACCGCACGCGATATTTCACATTCTTAAAATATTGTGATATTATTTTATTGTGCTTAGATATTGTGTATAATTGTCGTACTTTCGATGTAATAAATAAGCACATTTATTTTTTTGGGATATGTAATATTTTATAGTTAATATTTACAATTATATTATGCGTACTAACAATGTACAAATATAGTGGCACTTGCGTACAATAAGCGTATCACTAATGTATGATGTGATCTTGTCATTTTGTATTGTTCGAGCGAAAATGATTTTGTTATGTAAAATGCTATAAATTTCCAAAACAGTGATACTACAAATATTATTTATAAGCTATCAGCCATTTCTATAACAGTATTATATAAATACTTATTACTGATAAAAAAAACATAAGATTAATTTGTTTCTTCTTTTTCGATATCATTACTCACCTATTTACAATTATTTAATAAGAGGGAGAGAGGAATTTTTAAAAGAAAAAAGATCAACATTCAAGTCTTATTACAAATACTTGTGTAATATTATAGTAACTATAAAAATGCAATTTTTGAAGTCAAGTTAATTGACTACTTAACGTTGTCGCTGCAGTGATGTTCGATATTGGTGTAATAACATTTGGAGAAGACGAAATGTCGTCGATTAGCATACCTACAATAAATTAAAACTTGATCGGTAACGAACTCTTTAGAGCAAAACGAGAGGTAGCGACTCAACGGTCGTATTAGGAATCTCAGCCTTACCGGCGATGCTGGCTGTGAGAAAAGTAGCGGCGCTGCCAGCAATAAAGGATCGTATAATGACTCTGGTCACTTGCTCCTTCTTTTCTGGCGCCAAAGAGGCGAAGACACCGATCTGTATACCGATCGACGCCGGATTCGCGAAACCGCAAACCGCGAATGTCGCTATCGCTTCCGACCTCCCGAATAATTTGCCCTGCTTCTTGAACTCGCCCATTTTCTGATAAGCGACTAATTCATTGACCATCGTCTTCAAGCCTATTAATGTCGCTACTTCTTCGCAATGCTCCCAAGGAACGCCGAGGACCCAACTTAATGGCATGAAGACTTTCGCGAAAATAATCTGCAAAATGCAAGCTCTAAAATTGCTCGGAAAGATACATTTTCAGTAATTAGATAGATCGGCGTGTAGTAATTTATTACCTCGAGACTGAGAGCCTCGTAGCCAACGAGGCCGCCGAACCAAGAAAGTATTGCATTAAAAAATGCAATGAACGATACAAAAGCAACAATATTAGCGACTATACCCAAAACGATCGGGAGTGCAGCCAATGCACCGTTGGTGGCGGCGTCCAAAATGCTGGTGTCTTTTCTAATCGCAATTGACAATTCCCGTGACAATTATTAATTGTCAATTAAGATGAGAAATCTAAAAAGTTTTTGTACTTACGATTTTTCAAGCTTGATATTTTCGGATTTCGTGAGACTTTTTTCAGTTTCCGGGTAAAAGAGTTTGGAAAAGCACAAGGCCGTCGGTGCCGACATCACGGACGCGGTAATTAAATGACCCGGATTTGCACCAAAGGATATGTAAGCGGCCAATACCGTACCTGCAACGGGCGAGTAAGAATTAAAGAATTAAAAGTTGGAATTTGATGACGCCGAATGAATCGTATTATAAACTCCATGACAGACCAGAGACTGTAGAAAATCCTGAGCTCAATATAGCGTGCAACTCCGAGGAAGTTAATTGATTAATATATGGTTGGATTAGAAGAGGAGTTTCCGACTAGAAAAGAAAGCAAACTGTAAAGCTTTGAATTGTGATGTCTCTCATCAGATTTTATTTTGTCAGAATGCAAATGAATTACTCATCGGTTGTTTACACGATGTCAAAAACATTACCATTCCGATGAAAGGATTAGCGACGGCGATTATTGATTCACACAGCGTCGTGTTCATTATGCTTTGCAAGATCCATCCTAATTTCATGATAATCCATTGCAATGCGCCGATGTAGCACAAGATTTGCACTACGAAGCTGAAGAAAAAGATAACGGGCAGCACCTAATACAATGTCAGTAGCGATTTGTGACAATGTAAAGTTATAAATTGATCATAAAAAATTCTTAATAATAAATTAACAGTTTACATATCAACTAACTGAAAATGCGAAAACTCCCTTGTCTACTAGGTATTCTGAGAATACGAAATTGGCGCCGGCTTTAGCGAAATGTAAGAAAGTAGCCACTTTGTTGGATATGCATTCAAAAATACTGCGACCGACCGGCCATCGAAGCGTAATGAGTCCAAGTACAAATTGTAAAATAAGGCCCCAAACAACAGTCGTCCAATTGATCTGTACAGATTTAATGATATAATTATCAAAATAATGAAAAATAATCGTATAGAAAATTATTAGGATTTTATATTTTTTTTTAAAGAAATTTAAATTTCTTTTTATCTCTCAATTAGATATTTTTTTTTTATTATTTGTCTTCTTTTCTCTCCTGAAAAATCGTATGCTTTGACTTATATCGTGCATTAAAGATTCGTAAACAAGAGATCCGCGTGCATTAAGTACATTAGACGATTTAATGAAATGGGTCAATTCCAGCGGAATTAGCGACGCGTCTACCCACGCGTCTCCAGCAATTTTCCTCAGTCGCGTATGTGTCACACTAATTGGAGCGCGTTCGAGTTGATGCGGCAGATGAGAATAATTGTTACGTAAAGTGTGAAGTCGGTGAGTCAACTATTCTCCCAGAGATGTTTCAAGTGACAGCGAAAAAAAATCAGAGCCGGATTTACATGATAACTAATGAAGCTTGAGTTTTCGAAGACGATCTACTTGCCTGTGCAGGGTGTTTGGAGAATATCCATCCCAATCCTATAATAGTGACAATGCCGATGATGCTAACTAATCTGTATCTTGATTCCGCGGTATCAAGAATGAGGAAAGTAACGATAGCTATTAATGCAGTGACGTAAAAGATCGTCCTTACGATATTCATCCCATATCTAGAAATTTTTACGATAACAGTCGTTAATATTTTTGCGATAGAAATCGTTTGTATTAAGCACTTGTTACTTTCGGATAAGATAATGTTAATGCTTTACTTGGTACTTTGCAAGCATTCCACATAATTCGTTATTGGCGAACAGTATTGTATGATATATTTTCCAAAATATCGCTTTACGATAAAAAAGTAAAATAGGCCAATGTAAGTAAGTCCTACAAGTATAAGTAGCAAACCGTAGCCATCGCACCATTGGAGATCGCAGTGATTTTCTGAAACTGAAAGAAATTCTCATTCAAGTTGTAAATTATGTATTTTTGCTGTTTTATCGATCAGACATTACGTGACTTCAATTCTGTCGAAACAACTCAACACGTACATTTACTTTTCCAATATATACCCGCGTAGACTACATAGGCTACAATAAGAAGATTTAAGATCACTAAGGCAAAAGTCTTGAAAATTCTTCGGTGTTTTGAAAGATAAGCATTAACCGCGTCACTTTTGGCCGTCCAAGGCTTTCTTGAATAAGAAGCGGCATCCTATGAGAACAACGTTATATGTTAATATTGTTTCTGAACTGTTACTGCGCTATTCAAAAGTTTTAATGGCAGTGATGTGAAGTCGCTGTGCACTGTTTTATGTTTCCTGCAGTTTCCATATTGAAAAGTGAGTGTGAAGTAAACATGTTCATTGCTCAATGACAACAGCAAAATACATACTTTGTTATTATGCTGTATTCATGTAACTGTTATCGTCGATTGTTTGTGCGCGCAAAAGCGCTTGAAGATATAGTTAGACAATTGATTGTTTTGCAAAGGCATTCCTTCGCAATGGTAATAAGAGTGAAACGAAAGCGACATACTTACACGATTTGTGATGGGTTCAGTTTTCCGGCGACCACTTTCTAATACGTCTAACTGATTATCCTATTAATTGAAAGCAATGCATTCTTTTTTCAAATACATTTTTTATATTTCTGAATTTTTTTAAATTTACAATATATTTTAAAACATTTAATTAAAATATGAGGAAAATTCTATTACATATATATTTTTAAATTTTAGATAATTTTAGATGTAACTAATAAGAAATCTATTTTTGAATATTTAAAGCAAACTGTCGATAATAATTTATAAATCATTTAATAAAAATAGGTTTTTCGGTAAATTAAAATATATTAAAATTTACTTCAAACGAATGGTTCACTGCTCCAGACATGGTTCACTGTTTTTCACTTCACGACTGAAACGTGGCTTGTTTCCGTCGTTCTTTTCACAATACTGATCGTAAAACGAAAGAATGTACTTCTTCGGCGTACGAAAGGAATAACAATTCTCCCATATAGACACCTTGTAATCTTATTGAAATCGCACAAGTAGATAACATTGATAACAGCTTGCAAGACTTCAATCACAATTTAGCTATCGGTAACATAATTTATGTGCATCACTCGCGAAGTCTTCGTGTAACGAGAGATTTTCACAGAATTGATGCATTATACAATTCATCGTTTCAAGTGATTTTAAATTAATTGTTTCTTGATAAGTTGTTTTTTTTTCGCAATCTGATAAAAGTTTCGTTATTGATTTCATTATTGATTATATTGATTAATCAGCTTAGATAGCTGCGCGTGGGCATTTTACGATAGATACTTAAACTGCATTAACGAAAAAATCTAATGATAGTGAAAATATATCGAAGTAACACTTAGTATCGCTTGTTAGCTACGTGCAAGAAGATAAGCCGACCGAGGAACTACTGAAAATCGGTGACGCGATATAGCTGTTGTGTAAGCTTCAGGTATGAGGAATACGAGTGGGGGACACTCCCTTCTTACCGTGATATTTTGAATGAAAAAAGATATTGCGAATATCCTTTTTTGCAATCGTGAAGTTATGATGGATCTTGCTGATGTACAGAACATCTCAGGTTCGTTACATTTCCTTTCACCCATCAGTTCTGTGATGAACTCGGAGCAAATTTTTTAAATCTTTCATCCCGAACATTTTTGCGATATATTCATTCACATTCACACAAATTAATATTCAGATTAAAATTCTGTTGATTAAAAAAAATTTGTAGATCAAAAATTTAAACATTTGTAATCAGTGTAACATTTTTACACACATGTGACAATTATAAAAGAAATTATATTTTTATTATATTTCATGTATTTTTCTGGCAAATTGCTGATCTGAGCATCACGTGTGAACACAAAATTGAAGTTTATATAAGAATACGTGATTCAACACGATATGCTGCAATTACAGTTGTTTTCCACATCATTATTGTGAATAAGGTATTTAAATTATTTTGCAATTATTTAATAATTCTGTTTGCTGTATGCAGTGAATATTATTACAATTTATCTTCCATATCTCTATAATCGTACAAAGCACTTTAGTTCTAACAAAATTCACCTTTTCTGTTTTCTGTGTCTATATTCATTCATGATTCAGCAAACACGGTGAGGTTTTTAACTTGATGTGTTTACATTAAACTTCTTCTTATCGTATACGGTCTTTCTTATCTATTTATTTATGTAATTGTAAAGAAACAAAATACAAATAACGACGGACGGATTTGTACGGGCATTAAAGAGTCAATAAAAAGTTCTGAAGTGTGTCGCGTTTCGTATCGCATCATTTTCGTATGCATACGCGTGCAGCGATCACGCGACGCGTCGTCTTAATGGATCGCTGCTTGGTCCGTGAGATGCAATTCAAAACAGGTGTATAAAAATTCTTGCGCTACCGCGGTTCAACGATGCGTACGCGCGTGCAGTTGATCATACTGTCGGCGATCCAGCCGGGACGTGGAAACTGGAGAACTAAACCGGAAGACGAGGCCGCGTAGGATCCGCGATCGTAATAAGGAAAAGCCGCGGTTAGAAATAGACATTTCGTAATTGCATATAACCGCAGCGCGTAATAAACCATTTCCTGAAAAAGAAAAATATATTATTTACACGACGAACAGAATATTACCTACGTTTTGACGACGTCGCTACAGCTAATGCAAGGCAAATTACTGCCATCAACTGATAACAAAATATATTATCGTCAAGCAATTTTTATTTATCTATTTTGAAACCGCATATTTTATGTATCTATGTACATTATATTTTTCAAGAATTATTTTTAATATTTAAACGAATATTGTTTCCAAATTTCAAGCTATTTTGAATTATATTATTGTCGATAATGAGAATATGTTAAATTAAGGTAAATGGAATTTTCCATTTTTTGGAAATATTAAAACAGATGCACAAAACTGTCTTTCATATTGTGACACATTTGTGCAAACAGTTGTAATTATCTAGTGCAAGATATATTTATTAATTACTCAAAACAAGATAGATTATTATTTGAAAGTTATTGCTTACAGCGTAATTACGTCAAGTAGCGATATCTCTATTTATTGAGAGCGATTTTTATTTTTACATGAACTTGTCTTCGAGTATAAAACTGATTTGATAACACGATGCGATAAAGTTAAGCTGAGGCAAATTTAATACGATTATATGCATTCAATTGAATGTCTCGATACGATGTGATCGAACTACGTTTTAGTGATAACAATTTAGTTCCGATAAATATAAACTCTCATTGATTATGAATTTTTGTTATCATTAATGAAAAAATGACTTGTCATGGAGCTATGTCATTAAAAACGCATATCTAATCAAGAAAATAAAGTAGACCATGTCGTAGTATAATATTGGTTTTAAGCGCGTATAAAACTTCAAAATTTAAACATACGATTAACTTCACTACTCACGAGTATTTCAGTATACATGTATTTCAGATTACATTAAAGCGATATATATATATATATATATATATAATTGTAACAAGGTCACAAAGATATATCCGATTCAAAAAAGTCAGGCATTAATTATACATAATATTCAGAAAACATTGATATGAAACAGTTGTTAATGCGCTGAAGTGAATAGGCTTTAAAACCAATGGTATAATCGATGATATCAAGTTGAAATTAGCCGTAGAAATGATTAATTTCTATTAAAACGTTTTTTTTTGTACAATTTGCGACATCCTGTATGATTGTTCTTAAGTTTACACATAATTAGATCGCTCTCAAATCACACGAAGCAGGAAGTCCGAGTAATAGGAGGCTGCCAAGGCTAAACTGTCTGGCTGCTGGCGAGGAACAAAAAAATCGGGAAGATGATGCTCAGCTTATCTCGTCGAGACGTGACGAGAGGACATTATTTTGCGGAGAATCATGTTGGACTTTTGTTCAAAGTGATGCGCGACGGCTCGAGTTCATCTTCGTTGTAAGCGTTCTTCCTTCCGTTTGACGTGCTCGAGTTACTTAAATCTATTCAACGGAAGAATGTCATTTTTGATACAGATCGTGCATTATGGAGTCGGCTTATTTTTTTTTTTTTTACGCATTTTTTCATTTTATGTACTCCGCATATTCGAAATCGCGGAATTTACGAGTTGACAAGCAAATGTTATGATTAGATCAGCGTAATTTCTACGATATAAACGAAAACTTATTTTGCCACGTAAGATTTGCTTTCATTGGTGGATTATATTCTGCTTGGACTCTCTTTTTGACTGTCACATGACGTAATAATGTGTTTAGTCTGCCGAATGTTTTAGACTTCGTGGTATTTACAAACTGTGTGGTCTGTGCTGCTACACGAGAATCTCTGAGAGGAAAGAATTAGCCTCCGGCGTTTTGTAATATTAGATAATCTTTACGTGTGAAAATGATCGAAGTACGAGATTTTTAATTCAATTGGATAAAATTAATGTATGAAATGAAATTTTTAGCGTGAAAAAAATTTGTCTCCCGGGATTACAATTGTACATTAAATTTTTTAATGTAACATCGCGATGTATATTAAAATTACGTATTTAATTATTCGTATCCCAAAGGATTTCTGCATTATTCCATCCAATCGGAACCATAAATCGGAACTATTTAGACAACAGATCTTTTCTATTTGCGTCTAATGCCTTACCGCGTGGCCTTGATAAGCTTATGCGAAAATTGTTCTATTTTCTACGTACACATGGCGCAGCTAAGCGGAGCCAGCTTTAGATTTCTGGCGCTGTGCCATAAAAGCAACATGAACAGCCAAATTTGAGAAACGTAATTTGCACGAGGAAACGTAACTCGCACACTCGAAGCGAATTATCGTCACGTTTTTCGCTGCGCATTCTTGAGGTTACCGTAGACCCAAAGACTCGAAAAATCATCATACGAACGAATAATGTCGCGATTCTCCCAGACGAATCCGACGCGCGGAAATGCGGACTCGTTGCATCGCGCGCGGAAATAGTACCCGCTGATCTGCCGGATACTGGACACACGAGAGCACAGGAAAATTAAATATTCCGCAGAATTCCGTCGTCCCTTCTCCTTCGCTGCCCTACACTCCTCGCCGCCGCCTCTGCCGGTTTCAAACGTCGTCTGAAACGACTCGTTCACGTCGTCAACATCCGCGTCGCGCCATTTCTTATCGCCTCCCTTGGCTCGAAAACAAAAGCATCGAATTTAACCCTTTTATTAGAGCAGAAATACGTATACAATTCTGTTCGGCCATTCGAGCCTGCAAAATCGAGATCTGAATTGAGATTTGAATTCCGATATACACGAGACTTTTACGTTATAATTTTGAGAGCTTTCTTATTTTATTTTATTGCAGGCATTATTGTAGGCGCTGTTACACATCTTTTTCGCTTCTTGTTTCTAGCATAATTAGTGATTTCGTCGGTAGTTTTATCATAGTGCGATATGATCAGCGGAATATTGTGCTGTAGAAGCGCATTACTCTGACCGAGACGTTGTAAAGTTAGAGTTACATAATCGAACGTGCGACGACGAGATCGGTTGTCGCGTACGCAGCATAATTCGTGATTAGGCACTTCATCATTATGCGATTTAACCAGACGGAACGCGTACGTGACTGCGCGTACGCTTCCTTCCTCGTGTTCTCGTGTTTCTTTACTCCCATTTCGTTGGAATGCCGCGCGTCCGATTCATCCGTCGTCTGTCGCAGCACGCGACACCCTTCGGCGGCTGCATGGATCGTGTTCCACCTTGTAATTCTTCTACGTCACTTCCGATATCTGTCTGTTCCATCTAATGTCTCGTCGCGTTACATCTCTATTTAAGAAACCTCGTAAAGATTTACCTCACTGACGTCTTTAGATCTCTTTCCTTGTCAATTTCAAATCAATCTATTTTTTAACTTTGAATATATAATATTTGTCATCAATCATATCGTGAAGACGAAGAGTTAATTTACACGCAATTCTATTCGCTTTGAAGGAAATATATCTTCTTTTGAATTCTTTTAAATTCAAAAACTATTGGGTGTTTGCGTGACTCTTAAATTCTTTAGCTTAAAATTGCGTTTCGATGAAGTTTACGCTTAACTTGGAAAGTTTATAAAAATGCGTTTCGTATTCCGGTCTGAAGACGTCTGTCTGTGCTGGGGAACGAGCGCGGAATATCGAAAAGACGGTGTGAGACCGGGGGGATAAAGAGTGGGAGATAGGGAGATCTCTTCTCTGGCGATTTGCGTGTTCCCGATAGGCGGTTTTAAAATGACCGTCTGGCCGAAGAAGACGATTGCGTTGCGCGCCTACGCGCGTGGGTGCCGACGCGCGGATTGCGCAATCCACTCCGAAATTCAAATCCTGATTCCACGAAGTGATCGAAGAATCGGGAAGGCGGACCAAGAACGTAGTATCCCCTGACGGATCCCGAGAAGAGAGACTTTATCTTGATCGCCGTCTGCCTCCGTTCTTTCTCGCGGCGAAGATGTTGAGGGCCCGGCGTTGGACGGTGAGGAGGGGAGGGGGAGGGGGGGCCATGCAAATTGCACGATTTCCATTTTTTTTCTTTATTTTTTTTGTCGTTCTGTTTCTGCATCTTCCTCTCGCCCCCTTCGTCACCGTCGCCGCAATCGTCTCGCGGATCCGCGCGTCGGGCAGCGTTGGTGGAATTTTTCTTTTGTTCTTTTTTTCTCTCTTTTTTTTACAATTCTGATCGAGGGAAACGGGCCGCGAGGCGGAATAATTTGGCGCGCGTGGGCAGAACGTCTTAAATTCTCACTCGGACGACTCCCCGGGTGCCAGGGATGCAGGGGACTCTGTCATTAGGGAAGGCGTATCTCGGATGCACCGTGGCTGCGATTCGACGCCAGGTGAGACGGTGCGCTCGCCTGGGAGATCGGCAGCCTGATGTTTATCGACGCGCCGGATTCTCCGCCATAACGTTACTCTCTGCTCTCCGATGTTGTCTGCATCGCCATCGAACGGCCGATGCCTCGCATGTTATCCTCCCCCGGGCTATGAAAACAATTCCGAGAAACACCGGTCGGCGGTATCGCGCCGGTTGTTATGAACGAGCATCATCGCAACTGCGCGAAAAACGCGCTGATACATCCATCAATTTTGTTTTTTCTCTTTTTTTTTTTTTTTTATTTTTTGAGTCAACCTAATCCACCGGCGAATTTGTCGCTATTTGATCAGACTAATCGGAATTTCGGCTCCATTGGAAATAATCTGCTCTGAGAAGTGCCAAAGTCTTTTGGTCTTTCACGAATTAATCGATAGCCAGATCGCGATCAGTTTTTGACGACGCGCTCGAGGAATTCCTTCGCCGTGTGTCCGCGGAGGAACTCGAGCAAGAGGACCGTTCGACGCATTGCGCGACGGCGTTGAACGGAAGGGGCTCTTATTCGGCTGTCTCTAATGCCTCCGTAACATCCCCCATGAGTCAACGGGAGGGACGCGCCATCGACAAGGACGACAAACGACAAGCGTGTTACGAGTGTGCTAAACAACAATTTGACGAGGCGAGGCCCCGCGCGCGTTATTTATTTTGGTACGTCTAGACGCCAGATTGTCTGTCCGCATGTCCGATCCGCGACGGAGAATTCGGTGATGACGTCAGACAGCCGTTGCACCGCGTCCGTCCATCGCTGCCACCGCCGCCGCCGCCGCCACCGCCGCCACCGTCGCACCGTTCTCTCGCACGCGGGATCAAATTGCATCGTGTCTCTCCTTCGCTCACCCTATAACCCTCCGACGGACGCGCTGTGCGCAGTTAAGCCCGCGTGTCTGCACGCCCGCGCGTGATCGCACGTGGGTACTTTATGTACCCGACGTGTCTTCCGAGTCTGAGGGCCGGTTTCACCAACGTCGCGTAACTTTAACCTTAGTTTAACTCATCCTTTGTCCTTCTCTCTTCTCAGAGGGGACTGGAGCGAGAAATAACTATTTCTTAACCGATTTACCGTTTCCACTGTTGAGACCAGAGCTAGAAATAACTAGTTTTACTGACGCTGCTTAATTTTAACCGTGCTTCAACTGATTCTTAGCTCTAGTTCTAGAAAGAGGTTTCAAGAAAGAGGATCGGCGGAAGTAAAGTCACGTTTTTTTTTTTTTTTTAATTAAGATAAGAATAAAGCGTGTTAATTATCACACGAGAACGACATCATTCCTTGTTAATTTGAGCGAAAAGAGAAAAGCAATTGGAAGCTTACGCACATATTTAGAAGAACGCGTTCACTGCGTCGAAGTCATACGCGTTCACATGTAATTTAAGCGAGTCGCAAGTACACACAAGATCAGGTATGGTTTAAGGTATGGGAAACGTATGTGTGTCCGAGACAAATGCATTTCGCAATGCATTTCCTTCGACACACGTGGCCCCCCACCAGACAACCCGGTTTGAATAGGGGTGAATAAGTGGTTACGTCGTTGGTCTCGATTCATCGATTTGTTTACCGGCGAGCGTTCTGGTTTTTTCTCTTGCCCGTTCGTCAATGACAATTCCATGAATCACTTTCGAAAGATGTATTATGCTACATTTCGAAATACTTATGACACACACTGTGATTTATACTTAACTACGGATACAAATATATAAAAATAATGGCTTACGTAAAAATATTGTCTAGAAAAGCATTTTATTAAATATTTAGAAAAAAAAATTATTATTTAGGATCTTATAAAGTTTTGGAAGAAATACGATTACAGTCTTTTATCAGGGACTGTTCCAAGGAACACCATTTTTTCAAACTTGTTTACGTTATAGCAATTTACATTAAGGTTGACTTGAAAACTTAAATTTATAAGCACGTGTATTCTTAATGCGCTTTAGGCTTCCTAGAACAGAACGCTCAATCTTCATAAAAATACAAATGAATTACATTGTTTAGGAATTATATTATTTACCAGTTACATTATTTAAAAATTGTTACAATATTTTATGCAAAATTTGCGGCAAGTTTGAAAATGTATGAACAATCGCTCTTTTGTTTATCAAAAAAACTGAATTAATTGAATCGACATCTTGACTTTATCTTTACTTCGACATCTTTACTCGCGATACCACTTAATTAAATTCACTGCAAATAACTAGGCGGAGTCAAAGTTTGCGGATTTCCAGCGAGATTTCCACACCTGGAAGCAAATTGAATGTGTCACGGCCGCCTTGTTCTTTCCATTTTTTATTCCCTTTTTTTCGATTCGGACTCCTGCCGTCGGCGTGCGTTGCCACGCATCGTATTTTCACGCACGCACGCGGAGGCTGCATTTATTAAAAGCAATACATTATGATTCAAAGATCATATCTTTCGATTTGTCTAGACATTGGAGAGGGAGACACCCTATAAAGTCGTGGCTGCCTCTGAAACGACCATCCGAATACGACGAACCTGTTTGCACATATCTCTCGTACATTCTTCGAGTGTTCCTATCGCATTTCCGTACCTGTTAATCTTTTTTCCCTTCATTTCCCTGGCGTTTCGTCGCAACGATTCTACCGAAGTCGTTCAATCAGAGAAACTCCGTGTCGCCGAACGGCCGAGAATTCGCGAATACGGACGAAAGTGAGAAAAACTTAGTTCCTTTCCGTTTTTCTCGCGGAGTAATCCGAGTACACGGGACGACGGTTCAAAGGACGGCACAATTTCGATCGAATTATCGCACGAGGCAAGATTGAGATCGATTTTTTGGTAGCGAAAGTCTGGCGTGCGCGTAGGGTATCAGTTGCGGTCTCGCGGTGAAAGGAGGAAAAAAATTTGACAATATTCACCTGCAAAGAGAGCCGCGGACGTCGGGCCGTATAAATTCTTCGTGCCACGTGGGAATTCGCGCGATCGAGAATACCAAGCCGACGATCCGTGACAAGATTTGCGAAATTCGAAACGACGGTAAGAGATACGTAAGTGACGGAGGAAGAGGAGATCGAGACAAACGCGAATCCGGTCGGCAGGCCAATTTCGGCACGATCTCCAGTAATCATCATTGGGAGGCAAATTCGCGTCCAAGACGAAGAATACAAAGAGGAGGACGGGAGGAAAAAGAAGAGGAAACAGTTGCAGAAGAAGGGGCAGAAGAGGAAGAAGGAGGTAAAGCGTCGCGAGGAGAGAAACGGCTGTCCTCCGCGGGATTTCGGTGCGCGAGGAAAAGGGGTTACCCGGGTTTGAACGAGTGGAGGAGAAAGAGTGGAGCCGACGTGAGAGGCGACGGTGGTGGAGAGAAAGAGAGCGAGAGCGAGAGAGAGAGAGAGAGAGAGAGAGAGAGAGAGAGAGAGAGGCAGAGAGAGAAGGATAGAGGGGGAGGAGAGGGAAGAAAAAAGGAGTCATCGTAGTAACACCGGCGCGTCTCCTCTCGCGGCTTCGTGGTTGTCTCGGAATTAGTGAGTAGACAGAATTATGTCTGTGAGCTGGCCAGCACCACGGCTCAGTTGAGACTTACTGCTCAGAGCGTGCACACGCATACTACGAATCCTTCCTACTTACGCACCTCGCGCCTTCCTCGTGCGATTAGAACTTAGTCCGCGACCGCCGGCAGGCCAATCACGGTCCAGTTTGCTAACGCGCCTCCGTACGAAACGGTTTCTTCTTCTTCTTCTTCTTCACGTGCTGGACGTGCTGCGGAGTTCCCTCGTTCGGAGTAGCGCCGCGGCTAAGTGACGAGGTAACACGGAGGTAGCACGGTGACGTCTCGACGGTGGTCCCGGCAGGAAATTTCGACGAGAGCTCCGGGGAACCAGGAGACACTGCGCACTAACGCGCGACTGTTCGCGGTTGTCGTCTTACCACCGTGATTCCGCGAGGTGAGCGAAACTCAAATCGGAAGCTGAGATTGATAATTCAATTATCTTCGATCGGATTCGATCGAAGGACTTTGACGATTCGGCGGCGAGAAGATCGGCGAGAAATTTTTTCTCGAAGAGCGAAGATTGCGATTATTATATTTTTTTTTATAATTCCAAGATTATTCGTCCATCGCGAGCATCTCGCGCGAATTTTTGAGCCTTGATATTGCTTTTTCTGTCAATTTTTCGCTCAGATTTAAAATTATTTTTGAGTATCGAGCATTTCACGCTGTTTCATCTTCTGCGATACTATCTTCGGATAGCGAATTCAAGTGCAGCACGACTGCACTTCTCGGACAATTTTCCATAACTCGCAACAATGGGCGTTACAAAATCCTTCGTGCTCCTCTTATTGGTGTCCATCGCGACTGATGCGTGGTCCCATCGTCATCATCACCACCATGAGCATTATCCGGAATACAGAAAAGAAAACAGTCGTGTGGACGTCGAGCAAGAATCCGGCCTCGGGAGTGAGAAAACTGCAGACTCCATGCAATCAGAATTATTGGAGAAAAATAAGAAACATCTAGAGGCTTTGAACAACAAAGGATCGATTCCCTTCAGCCCGCGAAGATTAGAAAAAATGCTGGAAAAAGCGATCCTGAAGATAATCACGGGCGATCTCGGCACGGCCGAGATGCTGCTGCTGAAGAGCTTGAATTACACTCCCGAGGAAGTACTGGCGATTCGCGAACGGGAACTCAACAGACAGAAGGAGGAGGAATCGAGGAAAGTGGCGGAGTCGAACGCGAGGAAATTCTACAGCGAGAATCTGTACAGAAACAAGCCGAGGCACTGGAATTACAATTCCATGGAATTCGACTCGTCACCTCGCAACGATCCCGATGTTGACGTGTCGAGGCACGAGAGGAAGAGGAATCGGTACAAGGGGAAGAGCTCCGACGACAAGGACTTCGACTTCGACGCTTACAATCGGCAAGCGGTGATCGATTACGAAAACCTGGCGTCCAAGATCGAGCTGCAGCAATCGTGGTCGGAGCCTGCGACTTTCGATTATGAGGACGAGTCGCGGAACACCGAGGAGCAGGAGTCGTCGCGGAATTTTCATCGCAGCTTCGACCGCGCCATGGAGCCCCACGTGATCTTCAAGATCCCCTACGACGATTCCGAGTTTGATTCCAGCTCCGGCAGCGACGAGAAATCAAAGTTCGCAGGCAGAGACGCCCTTGCCCCGTCCAAGGGTTCGAAACATCGCACTTCCTCGACCTTGAGACACACGACTGCCAAGAACGTTGCTAACTCCTTTCACGCTTCGTCATTGTCTCCTTCTCCTCCTTCTTCTTCTTTTGCTCCGTCTGTTGCTTCTGCAGCTACCGGGCATACTCCACTTCCCGTAGCGTATCAGCTGGGGAATTTTAAAAGCGCGAGGCCGGATTATCTCAAGAATCAGACTTCCTTCAGCATGACGGAATCGCCGGAGCCGATTGGCACGACTGTCATTATCGCGGATGTCACATCTAACACGACCGCCGGCGCGATAACGGATTTCGACAATTCGACGACAAGCGACGATAATTTGTTCATTAAGGATGCAGATAATACAACCAGCAAGAGAGTCAGCGAGTACGAAGGGCTGGAGTGGGTCGAAGATGACGTTTACAGAGTGATACCGGCGTACGCGGACCTCTTGGGCTACGATAACGCCGATGAGAACGAGCCGTCGGACTACGAGGAGCAGAATCTGGATTCCCTTCCGGACGGAAGCGAGAACGACACCCTGGAGTATCAGAACGACGCTCCGGACACGATGAGGCTTTTCATGGTCAACGGGTCGGTCGAGAACGCTTCGCTGACTAATTTATCTGCCTATCAACAATTGGCGCTCGCTCATCGCAAAGAGTAAGTTGAAACCAAAAAAAAAAAAAGTCTTCTTGTAATATGGGGAAAAGTGAGTCACGGAAAGTAGCTTAGCTGTGCTATCGATATCGATTGCTGTAGAAAAATAGCATTGGTACACAGTCTTTTATTTTAATATTGTTTAAGATTATTCGCTTCTTCTCATATACTGAATATTCAACAGAGTCGTAATTCTATGAAATGTCCTTCCGACGTGCTTTCACGTGCTCTGCTTGGCAAACGCAGATCTAGTGTCTACAATTTTTGCTTTCTGTGTCTTTTAGAGAAAACGTAACAACAAGTTTCGGCAGGTAAGCCTCGCGTAGAGGCCTTTATCGGTTCGGTAAGGCATTCGGTGTGCCGTGCATCTTTTTTTTTTCACTATCTATTTCTAAAGCTTTTCTTCTTATTTTCTGTGCTTTTTTGAAAATTGCTTGGCTCATGCATCATTTCTATTCTTGAGTTTTCGAGCAAAATATGTTGTATTCGCATGTTATACGCCTTTATATTGAAATTGATAATGAATTTTTATTGGCTTGACAGAGATATTTACCTGCATGTTATTGCATGATTACACGCAATTGCATAAATTTCATGACGCAGTTTGCTAATTTAAGCGCACGATATAAATAAATACTTTATCCACATTTACCGTGTTCCTTGAATATTTCGATGAAGCGCCAAGAGGAAATTGTGAAAGTCTCGCGTAAATATTATTCACAACATTCCGCACAATAATCTTTAATTTTTAATCTAATAGAATTCTTCGACACGCGCCTTTATGTACATTTTTATCGAAAACAACTGCGACGTAATTATGACACTTCCTCTTTGAAATAGATTATGATTTGACGTAGGCGAAAACTTTCCGAGAATTTGACGTTATACTCGTCGCCGCAAAACGCCGACTAATCTCTTTTTGCGCGACGCGATCGATTTGCGCGCATAACACGCATAAGCTTCGTGAAAATTGGAGAATTCGACGCGTAACGCACAAGATGATTCCGCCGACGTCGGTTGACGACGGCCGGCATCGGCGTTCTCAGCGATACGTTGCCCTCGTCACGTAAAAATATCTCGATGGACCGATAAAAGTATCGTGTTGTAGAGAGCAAAGAAAACTTAGCGGAGCGCCAAGAAAATACCACGCTTTGTGATTATCGCGCGTTAAGCAATAATTCGTTGCCGCGACTTTTGTTTATTTCACTTTATTGTGAAAGAAATTTGATATTGCTCTGAAAATAATGATGATTTCACAAAATCGGAGTTGGCGGAGCTGAAAAGTATTCTACAATCGAATGTAATATCATCTCGGGCGTCGATGAAACGATATCGTTTCTCAAAGGGACAACGGTTATCTGACGGCGCGATAAAGTTTGTGCGAGGGACAGGTTTAGGACAGTGCTTAGTCAGGAAGGATACGCGGTGGAAATTCCGCTGCGGTCTCTATCTGTGTTTTTAAATCGCCCTCTCCCGCTGCCCCACGACTGCTCGCAGCCCCACTCGTACGGGTGCGCGGGCGTTTCTTTTATTTTATTAAGTCTAGACGCGTAAATGCATTCGTGCCGGCACTGGCGTAGCCCGTCTCGAGAGTCCTCCGAGCGCGTGCTGTTGCCGATGCATTCGTGCATCGCTCGCACGATCGTGCGCGCGGTTGCACCGAGAAACCGCCAGGTATTATTCTCGAAAATCTTACGCAGTTTTCATTTCGAGCCCATTCCTTTCCCCAATCCTGATTCGTTCGACGGAGTTAGTCTTCTCGGCAAATAAATCCCGTGAATCAGTCTCTCGACTTTAAAATAAAAATATAAAAGAAGAACTCGCCTTCTACCTGTTCGATTTACGTCTTTTCTCAAGTAGCGCGGTGTTTTGCGAAATCTTTTCGATTTTCAATTGTTTCGCGACCGCCGATTCTCTCGACCACTGCACGATGAGCGTGGAACGCCAGGTGGTTGGGCTGATAGAGAAACCGCAGGGGACGTCTGGAACGAGCGGCGGGACGACAACGGGAGCGAGAAGCGCGCGACGAGTGTGTCGCCCGGCACACGATTCGAGAGACCGAGACACCGAGTTGAGCACCCCCGTAATTGCCGGGTGTCTAGTCGCTGCAGTTAGAACTCTCTTACGAGGTTACGTAACACATTTCAATTTAATGCGTTGACCTTGTCTATGCGTCTCTCTTCCTATGTCGACGAAGACGGAGCGATGGTGCGCGCGACGGAGAGAGAGGAGGAAGTTTTCGCCGGTGATCCCCTCGCGGCCCTCATCGGTTCTCTCCCCCTCTATTCCTCGCCCTGCATGCTCGCCGCCGTCGTCGCTGTCGCACCGCCAGACGGTGCAATGTGCATTTTTACGGACGGTCCAATCAGGCTGCCGCGCCGGTTACGCGTTGTCGGTTTATCGCGTCGCAAGGAACTGTTCTTTACTACTCTTTCTCGTTATTTCTTTTTTTTTTTTTTCCTTTATTTGGTTCTTTTTTTCCTTTTAGCTTCAACATTCCAGGCATTAAAATTTTCACCAGCGCGCCGATAGCGCGCTCTTTCCCTGTCTAATTTCCAACGCTAATGACGACTCCCGGCTGTGCTCCAGTGAATTTCATTAATGCGACACCCGGCCCGTGAGGCGAGCGAGGAGGATCCACCGCGCATCGCCGCGCCGGTTCTCATGATGCAACGGCCTCCAGACTTTCCAGGTCCTTCCCTTTCTCAGACGGCGGACAGACGTGGCACGTACGCAACGAGCCGGCGCGAAACGCGTGACTTGGCCGCGCGGCTAGATTAACGAGCATGCCTAGAATCGAACACGAGGGCTCGGTATATTGTAATCGAGATTTCGCAGAAGAGCGTCGTAATTTCTCCACGGTCTCTTCTCTCTCGAGGAAACAGGTCCTAATTCTTGATCCTCGATTCCTAGACGAATTATTATCAAGGACTACTCTGAAAAAAGGAAGATAATTAATGTTCCGACCTGAGATTAAACATGAAAAATGGGCTTTATCTGCCATCGTTGTCATTTATGGCCTCTTAAAGATACGGTTCCTAGACATTCGAGTCTTCGCGGCGGCGCGTTTAAGAATTTCTGCCAGACAGTGGGGAAAAATTCGGGTGGGTTTGCGAGTTTCGGGGATCGGGAAGATTTTTGCGCCTGTCTTCGCTTGCATCCGTCAGATTCATTTTCCTTATTCTCCTCCCCTGGATCCAGCATTTTTTTTTCTTTTTTCTCTTTTCCGCCATTCAGGGAAATACATTCTTCTGGTTGGCGCTCGAGCAGCCAACGAGGTCGTTGACGTGGAGGCTGCGCTGAAATCTCCCGAGTGGGCGTCTCGAACACGGCAGTCCTTGCCGATGACGTAGAGAAATGACGCTCATCCTTCTCCTGCTTTCGTCCCGTCACGTTTGCCTTTCTTTTTTTTTCCGTTTTATTAGTCGTTGATTAACTACTTAAAAATTTATTATGCAATCCCGCGGCGTTTCGACCGATCGCCGTGCCGTCTTCTCTCGATGCGCGACAGTCGCCGCCGACGCCGGTCCGTGCTCGCCGATGAAAGTCTTCGCGTCTCGATGCGTGCGAGCGGGACGAATTTTTCTCCCGACATTGACACGAAAAGTATGAGGTCGCGATCTTACGTTCGCCACGCAAATACAGAAGAGGATTTGGAAATTAAAATTAGCGCCGAGCGCGAACGTGAAAGGACGCATCGCGTCGCGCCGGGGAAAGGCGGTGAAATTCGAGTCACGCGAACGCGAACACCAACCGTTCCGTGTCGAGGAAAAGAAAAAAAAATCCTTGTAGGCCTGTAGGTAGGGTGATGTAAATGAGCCCGGTCGAGACGTCCTGGGAATGGACTTAAGATTCGAGACGCAGCCTTAAAAAGTTGAGGTTCCGCCGCGACCAGACGGAAAGTCGAGGTGATTGGGGTGCCGGTGGTATCGGCCGACTGTCTAGCCGCTGTCTGCAACGTGTAATAAATGCCTCCGAGCCGTACCGTGCCTCTGTAGGTCACTGACCATCGTCCATTGGCCCGCGTCGGCACCCGGAAGAGCTCGCCGGGAACCTGAGGTGAAAATTCTCGTGCCGGCAGGACGCGCCGCTGCACCAGGTTTACGAGGCGAAACGATCATTTCTAAATTTACGCTCTTCTCAATAAAATCTGTATCGAAAAAAACATCGGAATAACGCTTGAAATATTGAGGGCATTTTTTCCCAGACGTCTTCGCTTAGACATGTAAGATAGCTGGCTTCCTTCAAGATGGAGCGAGAAAAATTAGATTTCTTTCGAAATAGCTCGATAAAAATATCTGCTTCGTCGCTTTACAGATCTCCTAATGTCTTTTCGATATTTTCTGCCTGAAATTTCTGCTTTCTTGATTTCTTTTCTCACGATACTTTTTGCAATATCATGAGAATTAACGCGAGATATTCATGCGATTTTGTTACACGTAACTTTGCTATGGAATTCGTGTGCTTTCTCTCTGTACTGCTTGTTGTGTGTGAAAAGCTTGGCATGAAATCGCACGTCACCATTTTATTTAGGCGCTTCTGTAGCCTAACAAACTTTGATCCGTCTGTGCAGTCAGGGTGAGAAAGCGATCGAGGATATCAAGACGAGAGTCCTCGCGCTAACTGGAAGATTCAATCTCAGCACAAGCACCAATCAAGTTCAGCGCGAAAGACTCACCATGTTTTCGCCTATCTGTGAGTAGCCTAATAATCTGATAAGCGAGTCTGCAACGTGACAAAAAAAAAAAAGAAAATACAACCGTCGAGAAGGTTTATTGGACATGCGATTCGTTATGTAGGTCAGACACCCCGTAATACAGATTCTGAAGCATGGACGGATCCGCTTTCAATGAACATGCATTTCCAACTGAATCTGACTTCCGGCGATCACGTTGTCGCGGCGAAGCTGCGAATCTACAAGTTACCGCAGGAAAACCTCACGACTTCCGCCAGCGGGGGCTTCGACGAGGACGAGGATGACGAGAAAAAAATCAGGATATCCGTGTACTATTACACGAAGTCGCTGAAGAAGCATCGATGTGAGTGTTTTTAGCCAGATTACTCGGTTCACCTGTGTGTGTGTGTGGGTATTCAGAGAATTTAGAGAATCGCAACTTCTGCAGCAAAGAAACGGCTGATGGACTCCGTCGTGACGCCTCTAACGACCGAGGGCACTCATTTGGCGCTGGACGTGAGGCAGGGCTTGAGATTCTGGCGGCTGACTCCGCGAAATCCACATGGCAACGGTAATAATCACGGCCTGGTGGTTCAGATAGAAGACCAGGACGGCCGACCGCTGAAACCGGCTTCGTACATTCAGCAGCCGTCCTGCGTGGACCACGACTCGGATCAGAAGGCATGTGAGTGTGTGGCCTAACAATACTAACTCTTGTTTTGAGTTTTGGTTTGAGCCTTGACACATTTTCGCGTGAGACTAAACAACGCGAGCAGTAACACATGAAACAGAAGTGTGTTAATGTAACGTAATCGATAGTTCGCAGACGCATAAATGCTTTGAGTATAAGTAAACTTGAATTATTAACATCGACTTGAATGGCAAGTGTACAAATAAATTTGAGTTATTTCACTTGCCGGACGTATGCTTACAAGATACAGTTGAGTTGCTTACGATTTGGCAATTTAATCGGCAATTAACGGCTTAGTAATTTAATCAAAGAAAATTGATCAGGAAGTTCGTAATCGTATTTCTGCAAAAATTTGTTCTTTTCACGAATTGCGAATGCGTGTGTCTCTTGATTAATCCGCTTTTTAGGTCTTGATGGCTTTAGGTTTTTGTCTTAAAATTTTTCTTCTTTTTTTCTCTACAGCCCAGCGCACACCTGCACTTTTCGTTCGAGCCTGTACTCGTTACGTTCGCATCGTAGACGGCGAAAAAGTCACATACGTGAATTGCAGGCATTAGGTAGGAAGATGGCAAAACGATCCGCAGAGTGCAGCAATTTGTTTCGAAACAACGAAAGCCGACTTAAATTACGATTGTGATCGTCATCGTCATCGAAACACTTGCTATTAACAGGCAACGACACGTGCAATTATATTGTATAAATTCGAAACTATCTAGAGAGATAATTACTCATTTAGAAATGAATCCTAATGTTGAATTTCAACTTTGTATAATAATGAAAAAAAATTTCATTATTGAATGATAGATTAGGAAACAGATGAAGAGTAAGATTCGAGTCAAGCGAAATGTCTATCAAGTTAGACCTCGCTGAAGGAGGCATAATTTTTCACTAACTATTTACCTTTTTACTGATAATTTTTTGCGAAAAAAAAAAATACAAGCCCGGCTTTAATTAAATAACAATAGTCTAGTTGTAAAAATAGATATGATTCTGTAGGAGTTTTCTATATAGACTGTTTTTATTATTAACTTAAGAGAGAATTATTTAAAAATAATAAGTTAAGTCATATTATAATACTTATACGTTAAAGTAAACTATCTCCTTTTTAGCTATTATATTATAATGTACATATGGTTAAATGTAAAGTAGCGTATCGATGATTTATGCATTCACCAACTTGTCAACAAGCCCATGACTGATATAGCCAAATGTAAAAGTTTATGCTAAGTATATATTTAGATTAAATTAAGGGACCTGGATATTTTTTCCGAGTCTCATCTAATTGGATGAATTCGTAGAGTATTTCCGCGATGACGTTACGGAGACAGTTTCCGACAATCTCCGGACGTCTCAAAATCGCAGCGCGCGCATTCATCTGACTTCTTACGATACTTACAATATACGTGACAAAAGAGGCATATTTCGATGCCTCCTGCGGTGTATATAATGTATATTTCTATGTCATGTTGCAAATAAATAAATTCATTTGCAGTAAGATATATTTAAAGCTGATGAAGAAAAATTTCTCTTTTTTTTTTTGACTAATTTCGTAGTCCACCGCGAAGAGAGTTATTAGAGGAAAAATATAGCAAGAATATTTGTATAAAACATATTTTATTAAAAATGCTTATTTTATAAGAAAGTATCTTCCACATTTATAACAAATTGATTCACATCAGATTGCCGTTATAATCAGTAGAAAAAGCAAGGGCATAGTCGGCCCAGTTATTTAAACCATGTTTAACTTAAAACGATTAAAAAACTGTACAGGTGATGCAGTATGGATAAAGTACAAAAAATTTTATTTTAAATTTTAAATTCGAAAAAATTAATTGACAATTTCAACAAACTGAAGTGCGATTGTAGACAGACCCATTGTACTCGAATGTTCGATATATTAATGCAGTATTTCTTCACGGCAATTTATCGAGTTTAACGATACTTCGTTGTTAGCAAAAATTCTCCCCCCAAAACAAATGCATTTTATTATAAGGAATTAAGATTTTTATATACTCATAACCCAAACATCACTTTCTATAATTTAAATTCTATAATTTACATTACATCCACCTTGTTCTTCCATTTGTATACAGAATACCTTTTCGTCCATTTTATAAAGCATGACTTTATCGATGATCAAACGGTTTTATCACTTTTCTTCTTATAAGTATGGCGAGATTTCGATTTTAGTCAACGGAAGCGACATTATTTATTAACTTGTCGAACAATCAATTTTTACTTGTGATGGTTCTCGACCAAGTGTGCAAACTTGGTCAAATATTGTCGATTGTGTTAGTCTTGTCGACAGCCCCTCCTAAAATGAATGTTCCCCTTGACCTAGCTATCAAGGGAATCTAAAGTGTCGTTGCTAGATGAATGTGCGAGGTCACTTAACTCGTCCAAGTGTTTCTGACGCTTCCTGACGTTCCAGTGCAGGCATTCGGCCAGTGAATCGAACCAGTCGGTGATTTGATCAGCCGCGCAAATACTAGGCACTGGATATATGGAAGTGGTCACCCTCAAGCTGAAAAATTGTACAATTCTTTCTTCAATAATTATTCAACTTATACGCGATTGAATTAACCGAGTTTAAGCAAAAGCTAATATGATTGAAAGCTCACTTTGCAACAAAATTGTTTGTATAGGCGAAAAGTTTAACGAACTGTTTTTAAATTTTTATGATTATTTGCAATAAAGTTATACAATACTGCAATGATAGTTTTATACAATATTTCATATAGGAAAGTATTTACATGCCCATTTTTCTGTGAAAAGCGAAGACTTCAAGATTTATGCATAAACGTTTACCATAAATATCGCGAATATGAATAATGGAACACAAAGTACCGTCACCCCGCAACGCAGCCAACGTCTCACTCCAGAAAGATGATTTACTGTGAAATATATCTTTAGAGATGAGCAGTAAAAAAAAATATTAAAATCACACACAGATGAGAATAAACATTTAATAGATAATTTCAAAATATGATTGTTTACACAAAACAGTAAAATGTGCATATAAATGTAAAGCGAGAGAAAACGAAAAAGATTTGAGTGTGCACTTGACCGAAATAAGACCAATGAAAAAAAAAAAAGAAAAAGAAATTATTTCATGGAACCATTTGTGATCGAAATTTTGACAAGAAAACTGTGAAAATGTATGATGATGATCGTATGATATGATCGTACGATATGATGAGACACAGATAGAGAGAAAGGCGAAACGACGCTCTTTGCGAAAGCAGGACAGACCTGTCACCGACGCGTAGTTCTTGCTGATTACGACCGTCGAAGGAGACGTAGGCTGTGTTGCGGGCATTGTTATTCGCCATTATCTGAAATAATTGTAGAAAAGGCAAACGATTAGACGGAGCTGCCGAGCGTTTCAGATTTTTACCTGTCACCATGGAAGAGTTCCTGTCTATTTCTACCGTCGAAGGACACCCACGAGGTATTTCTGCTGTCAGGTGAAACCGAGATCTGCGGTGGAAAGCAAGACGATCGTGTTAATTGCCGACGACTATGCGGTACCGCCGCGAACTCGTTTGACTCGAAGTAACGCGTTAATTTCCTCAGGATCTAACCACCTTTGTTAAAATCCGCTACGTTGGCTATTGCATTTTTTCAAAGTTTTGTTACTATTATCTTTAAGATTAATAATGTATAATAAGAAACATTATTTATAATTTAAGAATGCTACATGAATAATAAAAAAAAAACAAATTATGTGTATTTAGCAATTTGAAAACTTGTTTAGCTTACCGTGAAAATAATTTTTTAGTATTACAATTTAGGCAATTTAAGTCGTTTTTTAGCCAAGTTCGAAAGTATTTTGCAAAATATTTTGAACAAAAATTTTGAGATGCCGCACGGTCTGGGAATGCGGGTGACATTCATCGAAATCAGGTTTCCTTCTACGGAACATTAACGCCCACCGTAGAGTTTGATATTATAGAAGAGCTTTTATTGACGCGAAAATGCTGCATCACTAATGATGCTAATTCATTAACGTCTATATACGAATCGTATAAGGAGCGTTTCTAATTTCACATAAATGAGCTAAAATGTGTTTGAGTTATTTAGAAATTTTAAGTCAGTTATATGTCAGAATTACAATAGATAGAAATACATTTTTCGAATGCGTGCATTTGTCAAAAAGTTGAAAATACTACCTTAAGCTCGACTCCTGCAGGCACGACAATTGGCCTGAAGGATAAAGAATGAGGGCAGATCGGTGTGATCATAATGGCAGGAACTGAGGGATGAATCATGCTGGCTCCAGCAGCAACCGCATAAGCAGTGGACCCAGTCGGCGTGCTCACGATCAAGCCGTCACCCTGCACGCTTGTCACATGTTTGCCATCGATGAATAGATCAATATTTGAAAGATAAGGTGATGGTCCTCGGTCCACTACAACCTCATTTAACACTAAAAGATTCGTAGGTGGTTGACCTTCTTCGTTTTTACGCATAATGATGCATCTTAAACGACTTCTTAGGGTTAAAGCTGCATGTCCTGGGAACAAAAATAACATGAAATGTAAGTAAAATGCGTGAGAAGAATAGAAAAATAATCAATGACTAACCTTCGAGCACATTGGTCACTTGTTCTTGGAAATTATCAAACTCGAAAGGAGTGAGAAATCCTAGGGAGCCAAGATGAAACGCCATTACAGGCGGCACTGACTGTTGGAACAGCATACTGGCATAAAGAAGGGTTCCGTCACCCCCCAAGCAGACGATAAAATCAATTCGATCCTGAAAACAAAACGCAGCACGTTTCATTTAATGCAAAAAAGAAAGATAAAAATGAAAGGGGTAGATATGAAAAATCGATATAAATTTTATCGTACGTTATTATTTGTTTTCTATTATAAACGAACTTAATAATTTGAGTCGGATCAAAGCCGATTGGTCCTTGTTTGTATTTTATTTTGAAAACCGGAAGACTATAATAAATAATGTATAGGCTATAAATTTTTGGGATAATACATTGAATAGGCGATAGCTGTTACCTGCAAATCATCAGTGCCATCTCTAAAAGTTTGTAATCTGTCGCGAAGACTTTGAAACCTGGGATCTCTGGCCAGAGCCGGATCTTCCAGAACAGTGGCTTCTACAAAGACCACCATTCGCTTTTCCTGTATTACAATAGACAAAGAACCTTAAAATTTATGGTCCTTTTTTTTATAACACAATATTGCATGTTGTAAAGAGACACAGGTTATTATTAATGACACTGACAAATATATAGTTTCCGCATTGTAGTTTTATTGTGTTTTAAAGGAAAAAAAGAGATGGTTCTCGTGAGTAAAAAAATTTTTTTTCACACTAACGTATCAATGATTGAACTTAAAAATTGCGGTTTGAAAAAAAACAATCTGCTTTAATCATATTTTAATTACTATGAACTGTATTATATAAAACACAATATGTAGACTTATGAAAAGTGAAATTAAGTGAAATTAAGAACACGTGGAAAAAAACGTGAATTGAAAATGAGGCTAAATTAGTTTTTCCTTGCAAATGAAACTAGTTAACTTTATGCGTTTTATTACGGCAAAAGTAGGTTGACGACAATCTATGAATTTCGCGCTAATATACTTTTTAAGACAGACGTATCGCAATTGGCGCAATTTTATTTGAATACTGTTATTGATATTTACCTCTATTAACCACGTGACTAATTGAACAAACGGTGGCAAGACTGAGGAGTCGCGAACCTTTTTGATGACCAGAACGGTGAGTGGTGGTTTGTACCACGTCAACCTCTGAGAGGCTGGATCCTGGATGGTCCTGAAATAACCAAGAAGAACTGTTACGATCACTATGCATTTTCTTCTAATGCATAATCATCAACTGAATTAAACTGTTGCGCGCTTCTGATATCTGAATTATAGCTTTATAGAGTATTCTCTCTATACAAAAACTTATCGCAGACTAAGGTCGCGAGTTCAAATAAGAACGCGGATCAATGGTACTTTAAGCGAGGTCGGGAAAGACAGCTTTTGCGTCCGCGCTCTCAGTCGACTGCCACCCGCCTATATGTCTATCGATTCTGCTGTGCTTCGTCTAATTATTCATGAGCAGCCGTAATTGCATTCTCTGCTGACATCAAAGAACAATCGAGGCTAAGGGACAAAGGTGAGGATGAAGGAAATGCAAAAGAACCTCGGATGATGTACGATTTTTTTTGCCGTTCACATGTTGATTACATTATTGCGTTATAACACACTCTTATACACCGACTATGAATATAGTTGTTTCACACTTTCTTACAAAGATCGCGCGCGTCAAGCCGGAGACTTTGCAAAACTTTTAGCAAATTAAGATTGATTAATGCAAAAAAAAAGAAGAGCCGCAAGATTATTAAAATTGCACAACTGAGATTTTTTTCTTCAAACATCCGGAAAGAGGCACGTATAAGAATTTCAAGCGACACTTGAGAGACGTATTTCACTGTAAAAACGCGGACGGCCGAGAATATATTAATCCTTTTTACATGACAAGTGATTAAAACAAATTGTCACTGGAAAATAAGTCTGCAGCAACGTACTTGATGTTAACCATGATGCGACGACGATGTTACTACGAAGATCACGCACGGACTAAACGCTTCGAGTCTCTGCACCGTTCTTTTTTACCGCTGGACAATTGAACGGATACGCATGCGTTTTCTCGTGCAACGATCCGAGTCGGCGCGACCTGTCGTTTTCCACGGACTTAACACGTGCGCGATTAACAAAAATTACGTTTTACAAATTAATTATCTATATGATTGATGTCGCGTTGCAATTTTAAATAATTGTCAGATAATTTTAGTACGTTTACATACGTCACGATCGGATGAAGAATTGATAACCCGCTTAACTGCCAAATCCACATTCTTTATAAATCAGACGAAACTGTATGCTTTAATGACAATATGAATATTTGTAATAATTCTTGAATACTTTCTGAGAGAGAGAAAGTTATTTTATGGAAAATAAATAATAAACTTACATTGAGTTTACCAATTCAATAAGATTTTCAGAACAATTCATATTAAATACACAAACAACACCCGTATGAGATATTTCTGTTTTAAAATTTAAATTCACGGTGTTTAACAAAAAAAGTTTATCACTGAAATGACGACAAAACTACTTTTTGTCGTTGACGACCATCGTTTATAAAAACGCAATGTCATGTGTTTGACAATACAGTATGCCATCAAATTAAAGTATCGTGGACATCGATCACTCACTTTCCAGTTCCAACCATGATGCAGTACTGATTGAGGGACGCGCGCTTACTGACCACACAACTAAGTAAGACAGATATTAAACGGAAACATGATATTTGTCGCGCACGCGTGGAAAATCGTATCGTGCCCGTCACGTGTACGCGCATGCATCGCATTATTAATTCGTGATTTATTACTTGTGCAAAGAATATCTTTCGAAAAGAAAGAAAAGTATGTCTTAATGTGATCCAAATTATTGTTATGCTCATTTAATGATTCACAACTATTATTGTGATCAATGGCGAATTCGACTGGTATGCACTAGCATTGTGCCAGTGTCTATTAACTTTGTATCTGTGGCTGATCACTAAACGCGTGCATAATCAATGCGAATACTTTTGTACAATTAATAACATATCAATATGTTAATTTTTAACATGTTTTTATCCACAGAAATGTAGTGTATTTCGAATCGTATATATATGGCGCCGTAAATTAGAGGAGGGCAAGACAAACGGAATATAGAAAACTGAAAGATGAGGCACTTAGTGCGCAATAGTGCATTCAATCGAATTTATAAGAATATTTAAGAGAGAGAGATTAAGAATTGCCCTTGTTCACATCGCGTACGCCTACATTCTGCAATGGAATCATTAAGTTACGGAAGAATTTTTCGTGGTCATCACATCAAATTTGCGACATTAATAAATCGTTATATTATTATGATTTGATCGAATCATTCAATCGAATTTATAAGAATATTTTAGTATACAGGGTGTTTCATAATGTCCGCGCCAACGCTCGTGTGCGGGTAGAGTGCGGTAAACTAAATAGAAAAGTCCTTTACCGTTTTGCAATTTTCGCAATAATAATTGAGATATTAATTAAAAAAGATTGACGAGTAATCGCGCGTTGCGCGCGGCTAGACCGTGGCGAGAGCAGGAGTAATACGCGTTGTTATTTTTCGTTGCCGTGCGATCCTCGTTATTATCGCGCCTAGAGCATACTGCCCACGGTCTAGCCGTACGCAACGCGTGATTATTCGTCAATCCTTTTTAATTAATATCTCAATTATTATTGCAAAAATTGCAAAACGGTAAAGGTACTTTCCTATTCGATTTACCGCGCTCTACCCGCACACGAGCGTTGGCACGGACATTTTAAAACACCCTGTATAGATATCCTTCTTTTGTTAACAATCAATTGCAGAAATACAGATGCATAATTTTCTATAATCTAATTTTCTACATCGATAGCGTAATAAAATTAAATCCAATCCGTAAACTCAATTAATTATTAGAGATTAACTTATGCCACTGGGTCGATGTTAGGACATGTATCGATATGTCCTAAAATTAATTGACAGTTATGCATAGCATGGCAATATAATAAAGAAAGAAAAGTAAAATGTAAGCGAAAATTTTGTGAATAATATCGCAGTATTACATTTTAAATGCTATTCTAGTGTATGCTTTTTTGCGCGTAGTCATCATTTCTTGCAAAACAAAACGCAAATGAATCTCGCTTCCAACATATTCTACATTTATTATAGAAACGCCGCGATTATTCTCTGAATTGTTTGCTAATAAGAATGCTTACGAAGCTTTTCTCATTAAAGAAAAGGCATTGTTTAAATAAAGCATTAACATTACATTTAACATTATATATTTCCGCATTTGCCATTACAAATTAGTAAATATTTTCAATCAATAAATAATCATAATAATCGATCTATAACGATTTATTAATGTCGCATATTTGATCGATGATTATGAAATGTTCTTCTATAACTTAATGATTCTATTGCAGAATATAGGCATACGCGATATGACCAAGGATAATTCTTAATCTTAATATATTTAAAAAATGTGGATAATATAAAAGTATTAAAAATTAAAAAATTAGATGACAAAAATATTTAATGAAATAATGAATTGCGTTTTTCAATATGTCAAATAAAAAATTCTAATTACTTACATAATCATTGCGGAGTTTTTCATAATACGCCCACATGGCCCGAAGTGTTGAACGGGACTGGGTGCGTTTAGACTCCTCGTTCTCCTGTAAAAATAAAAGGAACCTATTGAGAAATGAGCAGTCACTAGATTTCTCAAATTTCAACCATTGAGTTAAGGTATGCAGCAAAAAAAACATGAGTTCTGTTCAACTTAATACTTTGACCTCCACAGCAGTTCCTTTCTTATTTTTTTCAGTCTTTTTTATAGAAAAGTAAAATACAATAAAAACTTACCTATTTTATTTTCTTAGATCGGAAAATATTTTGTTTTTAGTTCTGTATTTATTTGAAAAAATATCGGAATTCAGCAATAAAACATTCAGAAGTAAATATAAAATGTTTACCACTTTCTAGCAATATTTCTATATTACGTATTGCATTTACAAACGGCTATCGTATCGGTTAGCACGTTTTTAAAACATTAAAAGTTACTATATATAAAGTCCAATCGCTAAAAGTTACGCGATTGGACGTTACGCGATTACGTGTTAGCTGATTATCTGACTCAAAGTGATTACAACTCTGAAATTGTCAATAAAGTCGATACATAAACGCGTTCCAATGATGGTAACGTAATGATTACAATTACGATTATAATTACTATTATTAGTAGAATTTTTCTAACTTTTCACGTTATGTAACTTATGCATATCTATGATTCTGACTAAGAAGTCAGCTTTAATTTATGCAGTTTCACGATTTTTGCATTATAATCAAGAATAGGATAGTCGATGGCAACGCGGGAATTATGACTTCATAATAATACATACGCAAATACAACGTTATCTTTTTTTCACAAGGAACCGTCAGGTATCAAGATTCGTTATCAAGAGCGTCAGCTCGTAAATCACTAAACGTAACACTTATAGATTGCTTTCTCGCCTCTCACGGCAGGTAATAATTATCGAGGGAAGTCTACCTGAGAACACGTGGATTGCTTTCCATCGACAGGTCGTTCAATTCATCATCCTGCGGTTCGACGTCGTCGTAAACGAAGTCATATTGTTTACTGATATCATTGTGGTGTAAAAATGCGATTTGATCCGCCATCTTATATTAAACGGTAGAAGACTTCTTTACAGAAAACGGAATGTTTCTTTGCAACGTGCACGCACTACTTGTCCACTATGTAAATGCCGATCATTTATAGCTTCGATTGATTGTTTCACTGCAATAGATATGTAAAAGATAGCAGAGCTGAGAAGTATCGATAAGCTATCAAGCTATTATCATGAGTTAGCAAATCCTGACACTCGCGAGTGTCTTTCGTTAATTAAACACGTTGCCATATGTAAATAATGTGCGACATTTGGGATAGTAAAAATAATATCCAGCAGTGCGAATGTTGCCAAGACTGCTTTATTTTGAAATTTATATGCGATTAATAGGAAGAAGTAGTGGATGTGTTAAGAGCAACCATATTCGATTCCGGTTTTTAAGTCGAAACAGTTTTTTGCTGATCAAAATTTACTTTGAAAATGCGCAAAATGTGTAAAAAAGCATCCATTTAAAAATATAAAAACAGAATTAAAATTACATTCCCAAAAGAAATGTGTTTTACTATAAGCCTAAAAGATTAAAATGATTACTTAACGTTTAATCGTTTCTCATTTAAAACTTTCTTTGTTTTTATTAAACCTGTTTATGATCATTGAGCAGATGACTTTCTTAGAACGTCCTGTAATTTCACGGTTATAAAATACGCGAACTTTCACGAGTGTGGTCACACGATTGGATTTCTAAAGTCTTTCGAACGAATCATAAACATTTTTTTTTTACTTCTTATTTAGAGCATGGACGCCTAAATTCTAAAGATCGATCTCATGCGGCGGCTTCTTTCTCTTGTCGAGAGTTCTTTACAATTATAAGCGAACTTTCCTTTCCTCAAAGGTATTAATCGAAATGAAATTTCAGCGATGAGTTGCAAATTTTGCAGATTTATATTATACATTATTTATATGTATATTTATAATTATATTTATATATACATAATTCCATAATAAGATAAAAAAAAACAAATTTTCAACGGTATATTCTCAACGGTAAATGTGTAATTAATTAAATATTCACTGAAATAAAATATAAATTGAATAAAAGATTTGAATAACGAAGTTTTTTTTTTCTAAATCAACACGTCGAGTTCACCTTGGGAAGAACGTATTAGCGTCATAAAGTTTTTCCGAACGAGAATCGCGCGTTATTCACAAGTGGCATATTGCAAACCTTGGACTTCGTCCAAAACTTTACATGGAAATTGCTGCCGGATTGCAATCTCTTTTCTCAATTTAATTTTCCGATATACATGTTGCAATTGCGCGTCAAACAAATAACTTCAAATTGTCACTGTTATTTTAATATTTTCAAATCACTGCACAATTAAGAGAAACACCATGCACCAAAAATAATGAAATTGCAAACTATGGAACAAGAGAAATTTAATATTAATATTTGGAAACTAATTAACTAAACGGAACTAATCTTTCCTGTTTAATCCTAATGTCAGGCACGTAACACACACGCACAGAGAGAGAGAGAGAGAGAGAAAGAGAGAGAGAAAGAGAGAGAGAGAGAATGACCGAGTAGCGTGATGGCCGTACGTGGAATGACGCCTAGGTCGGAGGTAGACTGAAGTAGACTGTAATTACGAGATTCCCTATCGCTGGCGGTCGGTAATGACTCGTTCCGTAATCGTGCCGGTGCCAGCAGGTAGTAACCTTCCAACGCATGCTGCGAACGCCGCGATCGAGATAATTTTGGCGCTGAACCCACGGGGCGAAGCACGTCGCGTGGACGTCGGTATATCCCGAGGATATTTTTGTCGTCTACTGGTCGCTGTACCTCCTCGACGATCGCGCAGTTATCTTTTTCTTGTTCTGTACATATGCTGATGTAAGCGCTTTCTTCGAGTGAATTTGCGCAGTTACGAGAGTGAGTAAACGAGCGAAGGAGCGAGCGAGCGAGCGAGCGAGTGAGCGTAAAACGCACATCACCCCTTAAAATGCAGCCAAATAGGGTAACTGTAAAACAGATCGATCAATATAATATTATCAAATTTAATTAATAATTGTTATTTTTAATAATATACATATTTTTAAGTGATATTAATTTTTCCTGTTGTCTTCTTCGATAAAATAATGAGAACAGCTTTTTTACAATAGCTTTATGAAATTGTTGGCCTATATGTTGCTTGTTAAGACATTAGATATTTATTTTTTAAATTTTGTCTGACACAAAAAAACAAATAAAAATTTTTCTCAGTTGGCCGAGAAATACTACTCGCGAACACTTTCCTTATAAACCTAATGCAAATAACTTTTTTTTTTAACCGGTTATATTATAATGGACAGTGAGTGCTAAATAAAATATCAAATTTAAGTGCTTTCAAAGTACATACATCGATCACCAAAATTGAGTTAAGGGCGTAAAGGGCGCCCGCAACGACGTTTAGTATCAAGTAACACTGGATCCTCACGAAAGATAAGCCGGGTAAGATGACGCGTGGGCCGTTTAGCCCAGACCCGGCGTGGAGAAAACTGAGAGAATGCACAGTCATCTGTAATCGATTGCACGAAACGTGAATTCTTAAAATTCCGATGGACAGCGGCAATGGAGGCGCCATACGCGCGAACTCATACGGGAGCCCATCGAGCAAAAGCCAGATCGGATGGAATGTGCGGCGAAAGGTGAACGCGTTCTCGCTCCCGAAGAAAGGAACAACAAAAAGTGCTTCAGCAGCGTTCGTGATTCAGGCGGACGCTGGTGTGGAGATGCACATGTGTAGCTCAAGCATCAATACGTAACAATCCGCGTGGATCCACCGCAACATATTTTCGTGAAAATCTCGAGAGAGAAAATGATTTATACTCGAAGCGCGTGAACAATAATGGCACATCATGTTCTTAATCTGAAATAGGAGCCGCGAGAGGGATGAATCATCGTCTATCCACAACGATACCTCAATTCAGCCTCGTCCATGTGCGTCGATCACAGCTGGAACACTGCAAATTCTTCGAAGGAGGCAGGTGAGACGGATATCCGCGATAATTAAAACAATCAGCGATGATTAAGGCACGCTACGGCACTGACGCACCACGAGGAACAAGTATTGGCTCTTAGGTCGCTATCGTCGCGACGCCCAGCACGACGCACGCAGGCGCGAGCATCAATCAATTCCACACACGCAACGCGTTTGTTTTGTTCTAGTTTCATTGTGTTCTTTTGCACAACTTTCATCGGCTTTTCAGTCGATCGAATTAGATAAATTTGATCGAGAAATTTAATTAGGAAAATTTGTAGAAAATAAGAAAAAAAAATTTTGCAGAGAATTTTGAACAATTTAAAGTGATAGAATTAGTCGTTTTTTACAGCATTTAATCTTATGACTATTTGATAATTTAATTTTTTTTTTAATTTGATTCGAAACACGCACTATTAAAGTTAAGTTAAATAATTATTAATTAAGTTCATCATAATTAAGAACCTAATTTTGAATAAAAATAATAATGTTCTGACGTGGTAAAACTGTCGAGTAAGGTATCGTGTGTCGAGTTTCGTGTTACGTGCGAGTTAAAATCAAATTATGAGAGTTCAGTTTAATTACGAAATCGAATCTGATTAACAAACTGGCCGCTTATACTTGGCACGATTTCGCAATAATTAATGAATTATATTAAATATCAGCATATTAGAATTTAATATTAATTTGTGAAAATTAATTCAACGGCATATTTAGCAGCATATTGGAATTTTAACTGGTTGCTCAATCGATTATGTATGCTTCTTACAAAACTGATTAAATAATAAATACTGGAGTAAAAAATATAATTATTATAGCTAACAATAATAAAAAAGAAATATTCTGGTACCGAAAATTCGAATCTTGGTGTGAGATTCTGTAGAGATGGACTACAATTGTGAAGCCAAAAGTAAATTTATTTTGCGACAAGAAAACAGGCACGTTTCAGTACTAGGAATCGAATCTGAGACTGTTGAATCAGAGTCGGGAAGAATCACTAGACCATGCCGGAATTGAAATCGCTCGTGTTACTTCATGCAGTCAGCACTGAGAAAATACTGGAATTCCTCAACGTGTATAGGAATTAATTAACTAATTAAAAAGACACCGGTTATTCGAGCTCATGCGTGAAGAGCAGCGAAATAAATCGCAAAGCGTTGCGTAATCTACAACGAGAAGTTGAATAATGATGCCAACTTATTTTGTAACCAGGTTTCGATGTTGCCGACGTATTAATATATCGCTCATGCTTTTCAGCCGAGCGTAAAGCGCTTTTGACGTTATTTTCAAAACAGCGAGGAAATAAATTAAAGCGCTTTCTGCTGAATTATAATCAAATGCACTCTGCTTTCTGCTAGAAATTGCAATTTTACAAAGACCGAAAGAATATTATTAAGGTATTTTCCACGATACACGAGATTTCCGCTCTTTATTTCCTGAAATGTTCTAATAATATTTACTCACGGCCAAGTACGAGACCGTTTCCGTCTGCGTGTTTCCGACTCCCTATCGCGTTCCTGTTGCAAAAGTCCTCCCACACTGCCGTTTTCATTTCCGGTCATGGTGCCCTCGCATCCAGCCAGGCATCTCCAATCAAACACTTCGCTCACACTTCGACTACGTGCTTTTTCCTTCATTGTTGCTATTATTTGGAAAACATCTTCGATTTCTTTAAATTAAAACCGCTCGGTTTTATTCCTGCGTCACCGCACACTCAAAATTACAGCCAGATGGTTTTGCATCACGTTCTCTTTGCAGAACGAAAGACTTTGCGTAAGTCAACATTTATAATTTTTTTTTTTTCAACGGTTGGAATGCTTGCCAGGCGATTGATATCGAATGCAATTATTGATTTCAACAATGATCAGTCGCGACCTCGCGTGGTTTACGAGTGCCACTTCGGAACACTGTAAACTATGCGCTTTCTTTTTTTCGCAACAATAGTTCTTGATATCCGAAGACGTCCTTTCGTGATGATTAGTCTTGCGATTTGTGCATACAGCGAGGAGAATAGCGAACCTGTTTGACTAATCGTAGCATAATTCTCGGCTACACTCGCGATGATAACGTCTTTTATTTACTCCTTGTACGAGATGCAAATGATACATTCAAGGACATGGTTTACGATTCCAGGCGTAAGTCACTTTTATAAGCTACGTTATTTACGTCACTCGCACTTAAGCTTTAAAAATGATCGTTTATATTTAACAAAATTATTAACGATCGCCTTGATCTTTGGTCCCACCGAAGTTGCATATCGAAAGACTTTCGAAAGAATGTCTCACGGGCTTCGTTCTTGTTTCATATTAACATGTGTTTGCGACCTACTTCCTCAGCACAAGCGGGGAATTTCACTTGCCGATGAACGAAATGGTCGATAATGAATCTCACTGCCTGTTATTTTAGTTTTTATCTTATCTGGTTAGTACTGGGTTGCACTTGCGAAGTCTCGTTTACTTTTTTTTTTTATTTTGCAAACATGTTCCTTTGGTATTAACACAGTGGTTATGTATATATATTATATAAACTCAATCTTTGCAGAGAGATTTTTACATGTGTCGCCATACGACATATACAACATTATTTGCAATTTATATCTTTTATGCATTTTTCTAAAATTGCAGCTTTATGTTATTATAAAGAAAATCTTACGAATGAACATTTTATTGCTACATCGTGATTCACTCCAAAATTATATATTATTCACTCCACATAATTATTAAGTTTAAAACTAATTTTTCTTCTACATAATCTTTAAAGGAAGAGATTATATTGAAAAGGAAAGCGGTCTAATCTGTTCGCGAATGGAAACACGATGAGAAACGAGGTCTCGAAGCTAGCACACACAGTACACAACAACTGCGATCGACGACCGCTGAAGGTTCACTGAGAAACGATTTTACCGGCTGTAGCCAGTCGAGAGGCAGTTAGGGCTTTCTAACCCGCGCCTCCTTCCCCACCATCGTGTGCCCCCGTTATCGTCATGCTTCTGATATGAAAAAATCTGTGATAGGATTGGAAGTTCAAATGATGAGGTATGTGTTGGGAGTTCAATTACACTAATCAAGGATTTAAAAATATTATATATATATAATATTTTTATTATAAGATATAATAATAATACTCTAAAACATAATTAAAAATTAAAAGCATAAATTCATGCAAATTAAATTATTTTTTATCTAATCATACATTTCTGTTCTTTTTTATTTTTTTTTCTATTAATTTTTATTATCGGATATTAAGATAGTGTGGTATATCAAAATTACTACATTATCGTTTCCTTAAAATAAGTGGTTTTGTGTGTAAGAAAACAACTCTTTTCCTTTCTGTATTATTTCTAATGAAGCTTTGATGAAACTATTCATTCTTGGTAAAGTAAAGACTACCGCTCGGTCAAGAATGAGATGTTATCGTAGTTGCCGGAAGTCTTTACCTTGTGACGTCGTCCGTTTCCGGTCAGTGAAAGTAATAAAACGAATGCGTTATGAATTTGCCCGGCGGCGAATAAGATGTGCTAGGTTGTTAAAGACGTTTTTATCCAACTAATATGACTTTTTCTTTTTCTTTTATAATATTGAATAAAAAATTGCTTTTTTCGCTTATCCTACACGATTCGCCTATGTGTCTGGTTAAAGTTCGTGTTTGATGATTATAATATATTACAATAATAATAAATAATGCATGATGTCGACGCCTGTAACCGAAGTGAGTTTTTACATCACTGATAAGAAATGTAGAGCTAACTGTCCTTACTTTCGCTTTGTATTAATTCAGCTTTTTCACAATTCAAACGAAACTTTTTTGAAAATAAAATTCTTGAGTGGTTTAACTCGATAGGAAACGCCTAGTAATTTTTCTTTAAATATCTCCAACATGAGAAACGACAACAAATGCTATTTCAATTATACGACCATCAATGTGTGATATATGTGTGTCAACATACTATATCAATGTCGATAATTTTTAAAAATTTTCCATCTGTACATCTTATTTATAATCGAACAGGTACGGTGTATTATAAAATCGATATGTATACAGCTCATATGTATATCCTCAACTTCTATACAAATGTTAAACTTTCTCTAAATTAAACCTGACACTGCGTATTTTTTTATTTTACTTCAATTTTTACTTTATTATTATTCTAAACATTAGTCTGTATCTTACATGTGAAAATAAAGCATTATTGTTGTCCTCAACTATTTTTAAAAATATATTTCAAATTTTTTTCAAGTGAAAATTCGCTCAATAATAATATTCTGATCAATAATTCTGATCAATAATAATATTAATTTATAATTATGTCAAAATATAGCTTCTCCTTCTCTATCAGTAGTCGAACATATCATGTGCGATGGTGGTGTAATGGTCAGCATAGTTGCCTTCCAAGCAGTTGATCCGGGTTCGATTCCCGGCCATCGCACGCTTTTTTTTTATACTAAATTTTTTTCACACAAGTTAATTCATAAATATGCATGTAAAAAAGAAAGTAAATTTATGTTATAATATTTGTTTTTAATAATTATAACGTCATTGTCATACTCAAAACTGTTTGAAACATCAAGCATTATGGTGCACTGTTCAGAATTTACAAACTGATTATTTTAATTTTATAATCAGTGCTTGCATAATGCTAATAAATTTAATTGCTGGAAAGTAATTTAAATTATTGATTTATATCAGTGCTGCTCAACTTTTTTGGTAGAGCGACCACGCGATTTATCTATGCACGGAGGAAAAATACAAAATTTGGATGTAATATTGACATTCGTCAAACATATCAATAAAAATAAGCCAAGTGTTATAATATAAATTAATAGGAACAAAATAAATAAATCAAAATGTGAAGAAAATCTATCACAAAAGACGTCGCGATCGACCGGTAGATTGCGATCGACTGGTTGGGCACCCCTGACTTATATCATTGACAACTAGCTTATATTTCTTGAAGTAAAAACGGAATCACAAGCAGCACTGCTGGTGTAGTGGTATCATGCAAGATTCCCATTCTTGCGACCCGGGTTCGATTCCCGGGCAGTGCAGCTTTTTTATCTTTTTTTTTTTTAATTTGATGCAGAAAAAATAAAGGAAAATTTATTTCTTTAGCAGTTTATTTGTGAATCAAGTGGTTCGCAATAAATTAGTATGTATATGTCTGCTAAGGAAAGTTTGTTATCGTAAGTAATTCGTTTGTCTAAGCCACTTACTTATGTTATCATAAAATTTCTAAGTGAGATAAAACTATGAAGTAATTTTCCAATCTAATATTACGTTTTATATAATTGTCTTGCGAATTATTAACGTAACACTATCAGATGAATAAATGATATTTTGATCGTAACTTTCACTTTGCTTTTAGCACAAACATAATTCCTGAGAATAGAAGCTGAAAATAAACGTGCGATATGAAAATACAGATACGTGTCTCTTCACATATAAAGCACATGATAAGTCGGGGTCGCGCTTATCACGGATACTATACCTGACAGCAGGTTGGATAAGGGGATTTCGCATGCGCGTCGCCACTTGGAAAAGTATGCTTCTACCACGTTGCATCACTATACTTGGCGTTACTATACTGAGGAGGGCCAACAATTCCATTCTTCGACGTACACGGTGTATCGTCGGACAAGAGTGGAAAATAAAAATTTCTCACGATAAGGGGAACCTCGGTGATAACCCACTCTCACCGATGAGCGAAAACCGATCGCGTGCCACCGCTTGTAACAAGTATGGCGTGATTAGTCAGTGATGTCGATTCTAATCTCACAATCAATATCATCGAAAGTGGAGTTCATGTACAGATAACGTTTGATTAGCTAGTGTATCATATTTTATATTCAGTGATATTCGTTGAGTAGTTCGAGGATGATATGCAGGAGAGTTGAAAACGCGAATGTGTGTTTACTTGCATATACAAATACTCAAGACAATGTAACCATTATCGTTGAGATATTTCAAGACGGAGTAATACTATTTAATAAACAGTGAGATAATTTTTAATTTCATTCAACTGCGCAATAATATCGGATATATATCGACATTAACATTGACATATTTGTATGGCAAATAATTCTGCAATTTTTTCATCTTTCAAAGTTACAAATGGATTGTTTAGCGATATTTTTTTGCGACAGAGAGGATAGAATGACAATCGTAAGATTGATGCAATGACGATAAAGTTTCGCAAAAAAACCAGTTAATCAATACAAGATAATCGTTGAATTTCGCAAAAACTCGTGCTTATCAACGTTTTTACTTACCCTGAAGAAAAATTTTATTATCATAATAAATATATTTTTTTGTTGAGATGACGTATTACCAGACTGGACAAATTGAAGAATCTGAATTGAGGAATATTTGGTGAAAAATAATCAATACACAAAATGTCAAGTAACATAAATCATTTTCGTGCTACGTGCGACAGTAGCTACAGTTGTAGCTACGGAATAAACAAATTGCACATTATAGTGCGAATTATTCAAAAAGCAATATAAGATATCAAAGTGCGTTTGTGTGCAATAGTTTTAGCACAAAGACATTGGGATGTACACAAAGACATACTATCAAACAATAAGACGAGGAGCACATTTATACGAAAACTTATGGAATTCCAGATTTTCATTTTTTAAAGAAAAATATGAAAATTATTAGATTTTAAACTCTGAAAATTATTATCCACTTCTAAATAACGATTAGTTACAATAACAAGTTATGCGTAAGTGATCCTGAACTGTGATCAAATTTCGTAAGCGTTCAAAAATATCAACAAAAATCACGATGTGTGCGAAATTATTGAAATGATTAGATAATAACTACGGGAAGCGGTCACGATACACATCACTACGAGGACGTGATTATACCATCACAACAACAATATTCAACAGGCAAAGGAAAACGTTCATGCGGGTTGTAACAGTTGGCGCTAGCTACAGTTCACACTGAACAGGCTGTAAAAAGCTGTATTACCTTCGCGGCTCCGTCGTCTCGGCGTGATCGACCGTTAACTCGGACTGCACGTTGCTTCAAGAGAAAAATATACTGTTAAAATTCGCCGACAACTATCTGCGATTAGTTGCATCAACGCATATTGGCTATCAATTGATAGTATCGTATCTGAATTATCAAAGTTTCATCTGATCGGAATGAAATATTTCTATTCGCTCGTGTTCGGTGATCAGCGTGTAAGTAAGTACAGCTACAGAAAAGGGAACGTATTGTTAGAAGTGAGTGTGGCAAGGTCTTTTCGTGACCTTGACACAGATTTCTACATTAACGTATTTTTTTTATAGTATCGATTTCTTGTAAGACATGGTCGCTTGCGCAATCGTCGTAAATAATTGACTTCAATAAAATATGGTTAAAGTTCTTCAGAATATTGCATTCGTAATGCTGTCGAATATTTTAGTAGTTAAAAAAAGTTATTATAATAACATGCAGATATTTTAGACGTCAACAGGCCACTGTAAAAACGATATGCTGATCATCGCACTTATTAACATTCTATGTACTGAGCGAGATCGAATAAGACAAGTATACTCTTATATGGTCTCAATAGAGCTGTAAATTGTATTCTTCTTGCATTTGCAAAGTTATTATCTTTTAATATGGGAATTTCGATTATTTAATAAGGAATTTTTAAACTTTGCGCGACGAAATTCACGGGGTAAATTTAAATGCACGGAAGTTTGCGGCGCTGTGAGAGACCGCAAACTTCCACAAATTGCTCGAATCGATGACACAAAGAATATGGACTTAATTTCGTATCGTAATTTTTTTCATTTCGTAAAAACGAGTAAATTTTAAACTGATTTCGTAAAGACAGATCCTTTTCGCTAAAAATTCGCTTTATATAGACAAATAGCAAAGCTAGAACTTTGATCAGCCGAGGGGGAAGAGTGATCTTACTTGAAGGTCTGCTGCTTGTCTTGCATCCTGGACACCGGGGTCTTCTTCGCGACTACGTTCTCATCCAACTTCACGCTGGCCATTGCCCTGGCTAGCTGAAGATTCTTCTCATCCATTTTTCTCTCTGTCTCTCGTTCACTAATAGCCGCGACGAAAAGCTCGGCAAGCGTGTGACGCACCTCGACAACGCTTACGATCGAACGAACCGCACCGAGAGATGTCTCGTCGCGTACTGAAAGAGATCTCCGTCGCCGACAGAGTTAACCTGAGCGCCTCCACCGTCTCATATGTGTCGGCTCGATTGTATAACTCCGTTATCGTGTACGTTCCGCATTACCTTCCCTGTTTGTTCACCGCCTTTCCGCGTCTTTTTTCCCCCTACTCTCGCCGGTCGCAACTGGCGAATATTGTTGTGCAAATAACCCTCATCACGAATAGAATCGGTCTATTCTAATTCAGGATCTCGCTTTAGTGTATTACTGGAGCATGCTTTTTGAATGGCTTACACGATTCCCGCTCGTCAATGAACTAACATTCGTGACACTCGGAAATGTTTCATGGACCGATTGACGTCATGTCGTGACATGCTGACATATGTAACAGACGGCACACGCTCTTTTATTTTCTACAAACTCACGAGACATTATATTATTATTCTTATTACCGCTTTAGCATTTCTGAATTTTTAACGCGCATCTATTGATAAAATAATAATTTTTTTATGCTTTTCTGGTTTAACATTTTTTTTATCTCTATATTTACAATATATATTATTTTCTAGAAGAAAATTTTATTTGGTGAATTAAATTATTCGAGAAGATCAATAATAATGATAGCGGTAAAAAGCGAGGTATATCAGACTAGTAGTAATAGATGTCACGACGTGGCTGTTCCTAAACCAGCTTGAACGAAGTTCGAGATATCGAAGTGCGCAGCGCCAGACGATACGAATGTGATCACAAGTTGGTAAACTGCGGGCGAAAATGCTCTTTTTTTATATTTTATATAAAATCATAGATATTTGTCCTGATTTTGCATTATATAATTGAATGAATAATATTAGAATTAATTACATTAATTTTCCATAATTTAATTGAAGAGATGTTAAATTCATTCACAATTACAATAACAGTAATTCGTCGAAACACAAATAATAAATTTCCTTAATCAACTTAATCCTAAATATTGCAACATTTGGGATCAAGTTAATGAAAAGGCAGAGATCTGACTATAAATCATTTTCTTAATTAGACGTCTGCCACGATGACTGAATCACCGCGTATTGCGATGAGAAGTGATCTAGTTCACGACTAGGTTGATCAGTCGATCGATCGGCGGTGCGGTCGATCGAGTGCCGCAATGCTTCGCGCGTGCCTGTTTCTCCTCGAACCGCTTACCATGGCCAGTACCAGTGGTTATCAAGGCCACTCACTCGATTACCCGCGTTTCTTACGAGTAAAACCGTATAGAACAGTTCGTGCGTGGACTCGTGATAAATATTCCGACGAGATGCGATTTGTTAGCACCACGGATCGCTGACTTCTTTCTACTTCATAAATAATCGTCAATCTTTATTAATTATCAATTGGCCCATTATTTAAAATCATTGGCCATTCACGTGAATCTTATCTCGCGACCACATGTCGCATCTCCTCGATTCGCATTCGAAACGGTTTCTTATCGCGATAATAATGCCGAGACCGTTCTGCTCGTTACGTACGAAACCGTTTTCAAACTGCAGTGTCCACTCCGCGACTGTCACTCATTAGAAACGCTGTATCACATAAAAATTCCAGAAACGGTATTTTTTTTACTGTTAAATATGTCGATCATACATATGTATACCAATTATTTTTTAAAATGCATGCATTTTCGTCAGCAAATTAAAATAAATATTTCAATTTTATTAGCGCGATTGTATGTAACACTTGTAAGAGTGTTCTTCGCATCGTGATCTTTGCGATTGATCTCTTCGAGGACGAAGAGAATTGAAACGCACAAGTTGCTCTTCGTCGACATTTAAATGTTCAGCTGGCAATCGCGCTCCGACACTGATATCAACTAAACGAACTTGAAATCGCACGTCGCGCCTTGACTCGCCTCGACCTTTTATTACACGCGCGCATTATTCGCGACCAGAATATTCTTTCAATCTTTCGCGAAACCTTTCGCGTCGATAGCGATCTGCCTTTCGTTTCCTCGCCGCGCGCCAAGCCAGTCGTCGTGAGCCATAAATCAAATCCGCCTCGCCGAATGACGAAGCACGACCCGTCTCTCCGGGTCGACTCGTGCACGGTACATCGACTTTTTCGCATGATCGTCCGAGCTTTTAAAAGCGTGCCGAAGTTAATGAGCTGTGCGTCGCAGCGCGCATTAATGCGCTCCAAATAAGCGACGGCGACGCGCTGCAAACGAATTGCGATGTGGCGCAGGTGTGCGCACGTATTTCTGCACGCAGCACCTATGCATTACGTATAGATTCCAGTCCGCGTAACTGCGCAGCGCATATGGATTATAATAAATACGTTACATTAAGCCGACAGGCCGCTGCTTTTTGTCGCCCCCGTGATAATACGTTTGGAGACCGTCGATAGCTTCCTGCACTACTGTTCATTTCCAGAATACGTATGGGCTGATTGAAAAATCGCGTACTATTTCTCGGCAACGGATGCTCACAAGAGCGGACCGAATCGAGAATGGTTCGAGGCGTATCTCTACATTTCTCTTCCGCCATTAAAAAACCTGAAATTGATTTATCTCCGAGCAGGTTTCCTCAACACGATCGAAACGACAGTTTTCAATGAATTTTTTATGAGGAACATTCGTGCCGAACGTTCGCTTGTATTTCAATTCAAAATCAACTTCGGCAGTTTATAATGAGTGAAAGTTTGCATCTTCTCCGATGTAGCGGAAAGATATTATTCGATATTTTTTTACTTTAAGATTAGAAATCTGTTTCGATCGCAAAAGGAAAACGGAAACTGTTACTTTTATTTGAGAAATTGACTGCGCGAGATGATTTCCGCGTTTTCCGGCGGCGAGTCGTGATCCACCGCGTTGGTGCGCAACTCGAATGAATTTCCGATCGCATAAAAATTGCAAGTGGATCACCGACGCAGACTCTCCATCGGTTTTCCTCGTGAATCGACAGCCGTCGCTTTTACGTAAACTCGTAGAACGAAAATTATATATGCGCGTGTGCTGTAGGTGGGTGGTGATATAAACGCGCAAGTGAGTTCATGCGTAAATAACCAAATGAATAAACATTGGAGTAGAGTGCACTGATAGCCGTTATATAAACGTCGATTTTATACACATACACACGCACACACTAGCCCCGCAAACTCGACGGAAACGTTACTCGCAGACGCCGAAATCCGAGATTGCCATTTCCGGGTTAATAAAAAAGAAAAGAAACTGTTCAGCGAGATGCGAGTATTTTTATTTAAAAAAAAAGTACGCTACTTTATTTCCTTGTTCGGCATTCTGTTGGCAAGTTTTCTTGCAAAACTCAGGCAGCACTTTCCCGAGAGCTCGTATAACAATCGCGGCTCATGAATTTTTGCCGTTTCATCTGAAAAACACTGACATGATATTGCTCGCATATGTGAGAATACTGTAGGATTATGCGCAATCTCCGCCTGTTTGATCTTGCGAAAACTGGATAATTAACGCCGGGTTTTCGCGAACGTGCGCGAAATGCACGCGGAAAGGAAACTCGAAAGCGAATGGAAAGAAAATTGCGAAACGCATTACTAGTGGAAAACGAAACGTCAATCATAATGTTTATTCGTCGCTAAAAGCATCGAGGCAATTTAAATGCAATAATTCTATTTCCGAAATCACGCTCGCTTTGCATTTAGCATGCAAAATTTATTCTTTTGATTTTCAGCACCGAATCAGCGTCGAATCGGAATGCATTGCTTGGAAAGAGGAGAGAAGGCAAGCGGCGATTTGCGCGTGGGCGTTTGGATGAAAAAGGTATGTGCGTAGATAATCATAGGGAAAATAAACGGACTGGACATGCCGGCGCGGTGGCCAAGGCTCCACCGGCTTTCTAACGACAATCACTTTTATGTAACGGCCATTATTCGTCCCTTTTTATTACAACAAAAGGTAAATACAAAGACGCGCGGCTTTCGTCGCGGAACTGCGCCGCGGACGGCACGCGATCCGTGCCGTTTTTGACAAAATATTCGTAGGGAGGGTAAATATCGGAGTACATCGAGGGGTAGTTACACATGGGGGATAACCTTTCGGAATTATCCGACGAGGGACTAGAAGACCTCTTTGGCGACCAACCCTTCATACCGGGTGGCATCGATAAATGATACCGCTTGTTTTTACTGCGACAGCGGTGTCATTTGAATCACCCTGTAGACGGTCGTCGACTGCAAGCGACTTCGCGATCGGATCCCGATAGTATTCTGGAAATTCTCTTTCAATTACATATGTTGATATGCAACAGCGATACATAATTGATTCTGAATCACGAAATCGTCAATGCTTTGTTAGATCATTGACGGCATAAGGAAGAATCGATTATTCATCGTTTGACAGCTCTGAGCGAAACAAAATTTACATCTACATAAAAACTCCAGAATACTTTCCATGGAAACAGTCAGCGCGCGAATAATTAACGAAGAGATATTGTTGATTCTCGATCGCTCTGTCTCGAAATAATTATCTTCCGCGACACATTTTTACAATATAATCCTTCTTATTCTGTAACATTAACGCTCACAATTCTATACATATATAACGCAAGAAGATAACGCAGATCATACACTATACAATGAACGAGATACAAAAATAAGTGGCAATTCTCTTCGAGCGCGAAGTGTCTCGACGAAGACTCAATCAACTGTACAAAATAATCTCTCGGCCAAGTTTCCGCGCAAACAATTTCGACCTTTTTAATAAATAACTATTACAATTCCTTCAAAATATAAAACTTAGACTCATAATCTATTTCTCAACAAGTATCTTTTATTAAATAATTATTTTTATTTTTCTTTTTTTCTTTTTGTATTCTCGACTTCTCTAAAAACAGTCAGACGTTGGTTTGTTTCCTCATTTTATAGGGAATTAGAATGCACTTCAATTTCGCGATTTCCGTTGTCCATTGCGAGATGGAACGAGAGAATGAGGGGAACATCGTACGAGCGGAAATTATCGTTTCAATTCGAAATAAGCGGAAGTCGCTCCTGGCCCACGTTCTGGCCCTCGAGAGGTCCAGCGGAGAACGATTGCCGCTCTCTCATGGCAAATAATACACATCACGCACTCAACGAGAATATTATATCTCGTACATAAATAAACATAAACCATATAAATCGCTAATTAGATACTTATTTACAGACGCATGTAACAGAGATTAAACTATAATGTAAACTAAAAAAAAAAAAATAACGTAGAACCAACGTTTCAGGTACAAAATGAGATTGATCGATTATGTACAAATTTCACTCGTAATTATTATAATTGGAAGTGCAACTATTGGCGATATTTATCGTTCAACTCTTTGGATATTTAACGACCGGGCCGCCGCCTGATTAAAATCCGGGCGATCGAATTCAGGCTAATCGAAAAATGCGAGCTCGACGATCGGCTCACGTACAGTTTGTATACATACAGGTGTTCAACGTTGCGGCAATCGCTCGGTGAACGTAAATTACCGGTTTCTCCGATTCCCCCCTCCCTTCTCTCTTCCGCTCTCTTTCTTTCTCTCTCTCTCGTTTTCTCTCTTTTTCCCTCGTTCTCTTCGTGTCACGATCGACCACGCTCGATCTCGCTGATACACAGTATCGTACGCGATAGGCGTTACACTTTGTATTTGTATTTTGAAATACGAGCAGACGCGCGATTGTACGCGATGCGAAACGACATTCGCGTAACGAGCAGAGGTGAAACCTAAATCCGAGGTGGGAAACTTGTACGGCGATCGTGTTCGCCGGGTTTCCTCCGTGCTCGCTTTCGTAAGACGCCAGCACGATCGCGAGCATCGACGCCTTTTTCCTTCCTTCGGCTTTGACGGCCGATCGCGACAACCGGCAATCGAGAGAATCGGGTACACAGTTCGGGGCCTCGAGCGTGATAAAAAGCTCTCGCGTGCGCGCGCGGCGACTTTCTCCTCGGCGCAAGTGTGACAATCGTCGCCCGTGACACGATTGACAGAGCCGATTGCAATCTGAACGGCTTGATAAGAGCGGTTCAATCGAGTTAGCTTCGCGCACGGGGAATCCGCGAGCGCTATTGAGAAACTTAGTTGTCATCGTGACTGAGGAACTCTCACGAACTCCTCGAGTAAATCACTCACCTTGAGGATTCCAGGGCTTAATTTTCATTCACATCGATCTATCAACTGTGTGCTACGAAAGGAGTTTTTCAGTCAGGCTCTTTCGACAATAAGGCTTTTTGGATTTTTTTCTTTTCAAATCCCTGCAAAAGCGTTTAGCAAAGCTATCATAATTTGTTCCTTTGGAAAATATTTTGCGATTTACATTACGAAACACTGATTGCAAAAGTTTACATGTTTTACGAAAATTTATATATATATATATTACGCGAGGGGGGGAAGAAAATACAAAAGCGACAGTCAGACAACGATTTCATCATCCAGTTCGCTATTTTACTTCCAACGAGAAAATGGACGATCGTAAACTCTCTGCTTGTAAATGCTTTCAAAAATTCTGGAAGAACTGTCTTACTGTCGCGCGACTGCGCGATTACTTCAGATAATGTCTCTTCCTCGCGGAAGCGGTGATGCAGGGCGCCTCGTGCCTCGAATTCGTATCCTTCCACGCGCTCTTCGTCGGCGGATCGCTGAATCTCGTTTTGCTGAGGACCATCGTCTTCTGGTTAGCGTCCTGCTCCGGGTCGCCTTCGAAGAACCGGCACATCTCCCTCACTGGCACGGCTCTTGCTCCTCGATTAAGATCGTGGAGGGATCTGGCGCGTTGCTTGCCCCGCGGACTCGGCTTGGAGGACGTTCGGCCGAGGTCCTCCGTGCTCCTGGCCAAGCGGCCGCCCAGCCTCGACAGGGACTCGAATAGAGTAAGCTTCTCCCGCACCGGCACGTAGTGATCGACCCTCTGGCACCGCTCCAGGAGCTTGGCGACGTCCTCCTCGCAAGGCGGGTGCATCGAGGATGCCGATGGCGAGCCCGGTGACTTGAGCAAGACGATCGCCGGACAGTCCGCGGATCTCGAGCACGGCTGCGACGACTGACGAGCAACGGGAATCCTGGAGGACAGAAGAGCCAGGCGCTCCTTGCGCTCCCGGAGAGTCTCCACGTTGGCGACGGTGATGCCGATCAGCTGTTGAGCTTGCGGCTGCCCCTTGTCGCGAAAGATCCGCCTCTCTCTGGCTCTGCTTCGCCTCTCGCTGATGTCTGATCTGAGTATGCCGGGGCCGCCGTTCTTCGGGCTGTTGTTGTTTCGCTTGTCGTCCTCGTTCCGATGATGATTCTCGTCGGTGAACCTCACCGCGGACGGCTCGCTCGGTTTGATCGGCGGCAGTCGGTCGATGATCGCGTTTCCATTTCGCACGGACACGTCAGTCGTCGTAAAGAGTTCCTTCTTGGGCGAACGCGTCGCGTGCACGTCGTCGTTGTCGGCGTAGATCCTGTTCCTCGTTCGACCGTACACTCTCGGCAGATTGTTGTTGTTCTCCTCGGCCTTCGCTCTCCGCCGGCGCGCGTCCTCCTCGAGGACGCGCCGACTCCTCGCCTCGTTCTCGCGTCTGCGCGCCTCCTTGTACCTCTGTATCCTCTGCTCTCTCGTTTCCGGTTCCGGAATGGGCACGCTGCCGGCGTCCACGCAGTCCACGCTGGACCGGCACACGCCGCCCCAAGGAAGACTGTCGTCGCTACCCTCGCTGCTCTCGCTGCAACCCCACGCTCTGCTGACCGGTTGGTCCTTCGTCCTTATTAGGGCGGGTACGCTTCGGAATTCCCCCAGGAGGTCCTCGTCGCTCGAATTGCTGCTGGACCAGCCGCGTAACTCGCTTCGCGCTCTTCTTCTGGACTCGTCCAGTATCGTCGTCACGTTCATCGACGTCTTCTCCGTCGGCGAATCGCTCGGCCAGCAGCGTAATTCGCTGCGGGACCGTCGCCTCGTTTCCGTCGGGCTGTCCGGCAGCGGAACCGGGCCTCTCGGACAAATGGTCAGTATCTCCAGGAAGTTCAAGCATCGTTGAGCGCGGAACGGCGTTTGCCGGACCAGTTCGGCCGCGATCGCTCTGACCCAGGACCAGTAGATCGGTTCCGTGTCCGCCTGAACAGATAACAAGATCGATACGCGTGTAAGTATTTGCGGCAACAATTGTCGCGGGCTGTAGAATATTTCAGAAATCTTAAACATGTTTTTAAAAATTATCGACATCTTTAATTGTATAGAATTTAATATCGAACAACTGTAGAAACAACATCACTCAAAAAAATATTTCGCTGATGTAGTTAGATTTCTAGATATCGCAACAAGAATGTATCGCTATTTTTCGTATCTGTGAAAACATTGTTTGTCACATATAGAATTTATAGCAGTAATGTTCTAGCAATAGCTTCTGAAAAATTTAGGTACCATTGCTAAATGTTATTCATTGCATGATCTAACACGTGATTGATCTTATATAGATAGGCGCTTTAGAGAAACTTTCTTTTTAAAGTTCACAAACAATACAGATATATATTCTGTTTCTGTCATCTAAACTGATTAAGTAATTACATATGCAATATCACAACAGTTGCTAATCATTTATCTGTTTTAGTTAATTTTTTACCTAGAAAATTTTAGCTATTATTGCAAGATCATTTTTTTGAGTGATGTTGCGTTTAAATATTCAATAATTGTCACGAAAATATTTAAAAATATAAGAGAATCTAAATTCTTCTAAATAGATATGATGAAGTATCGGAAAATTGTGCAGTTCAGAAAATACCTACATTTGTTTCCTCTAAATGTTCTCATTTTCTTTCGATAAAGAATTTTATAATATCATAGATGCCTTCAAATATTAATCGTGATAACAGCCATGAAGCGCAAAAGGAGCACTTGAACAGTTTAAGGAGTGCCTCGGCTCTTCGAGGAGCTGCATATCGATTAAAGTGATGGATACGAATCAAGGTGATTAAATATAATTTGATCGATAACCCCGATATCAAGGTTTCCAGATAGGTAGGTAGACGGTTTGACATATAGGCGGGTATGTAGGACCACCGTTGGCAGCATCGCCGACGGTTATGCGTATCCGGATTTCATACTCTCGTACGGCGGGTATATCGGGACGCAGCATCGAGTAGTCGAACGGGTCTGTCTACCCGCAGGATCGACCGTGACACACGATTTCGCCGGACGGCGGCGATTCGAAAGTCGCCGGTTCGCTCGAGTGGCGCGAACGGCCGGCCGCGACACCGTGGAATTTGCTCGTTAACCACCGGCGGCGGTGTCGATCATTACCATCCCCGACGGAAACAAATCTCGCTGTCGCGAGGCTTGACCTTCGGCGCGCGGCGCTCGCGCGTTCGACGACACTGGCCGATATCGGCGCGTCTGGAAAAAAGCTCGCCAACAGGTTTGCGCCCGTGCGTTGTCTATCTCGAGAACGGCATAGAAAACCAGCTTTCGATCGAAAACCGTGACGCAGCGTCGCGCGTTACGGACACGAGCGACGGGAGAAAACAGCGCGCGGGGCTGTGTATTCCTAGCGCGGCGCGGTACACTCGACGCGATCGAAGAACTGCAATCACGACCGGCGATCGTCAAAGTGGTGCCTCGCGCTCGGTTACCGTAATTGCGTCGATTAACGTCGCTAAGTCAACTCGGCGTAAAAAATGCGAAACGTTCGATTACAACGCGATGACGACGGACTCGTCATTCCGATTGACCGGACGCGCGCCAGCAAGGTAGCGTCCTTGGAGTCCGCTAAGCCCGCTAAAGAGAGACGAAGGAACTCTCCTCGGCTGGGAGAGCGGGCGCGCGACGCGGCGGGACTCCTTGACAATGGCGGGTCATGGGAGAGCGGTGCAACGATCTCCCACGCGTTTATCACGGCAAGCGGATCGGCAAGCGGGAGTGTTGACCTTGCCTACTGGCCTTATTAAGACCTCCTCGCGATTCGACGGCCGGGCGGGCATGTTGCGTCACGAGCCGTCGCTTTCCTGCGCTACCTGGACATCCGCGGCCTTGGCAAGGATGCCTCGCGCATCCCACATTGTTTTCGAAGCGGGCGTTTCGCGCTCGCTTTATCGCGCGCCGGAACGTTTTCATCAAAGTGAGCGCCGAGCAGCAAGCGTGCATATCATCGATTTAATGAGATCGCCGCGCGCGAGAGTTCTCTAATTAGATTATTCCGTGAGCGGAGAGAAAAAAAAGGAAGGTGAAAATCTGACGCTACGCCGGGGCGAAACTCGTAAGACGAGTTACACGGACGCCCCGCGCGATCTGAAAGCGGCGACGCCTTCTATGCAAAACAGAGGTGAAATCGGCGCGCGGGAATTTGAATTTTGGGCGATTTTCTAGAAATCGCGGTAAGGAAATTTGCTAGAGCTCGAAGCGCGGCGTTCGCCCGCTCGCTCGCTCGCTCCCGGGGATTGTATAACGCGTTAGAAATCGAATGGCGACGCTAGCGGACCCGTAATTAGAAGTTGCAGCGTTCAGTGAAACGGGAGTCCGCGCGCGGTCCGCCCGGCGCACGTGAAAGTGTTTACGGCCGAGGAAACGGATCGTGCTGGAGATAAGAGCCATTTACATGCAATTACATTGCGTGGCGCGCGGCATATTATTCCTGCCCGACCTCTCCCTTGTCTTCTCTTCATCCGTGCGCTTCTCTCATGCCTTACGGTCGACCGGCGAGGAACGCTGGCCGGCAGCGGCCGATTCCGTCCGTGGAACCATGCCAAATTGCAAATGTTCGCGAAAGCATCTCTGGCCCTTTAGCCGTTGCGCTGGTCAGGAATCGAGAGCAATTTCCTTTCGATAGATTGCTTTCTTACAAAATTGCGAAATTCCTCACAAAATTTGCAAATTTATTTTTACAAGATACGAAAAAGTTCAATGATGGTTTTAAATTAGCGGCAATAATTACCCAAAAGGTGGCGAGCGAACGACTCTGCGAATTGCTCAGCGTGAAGCCTAGAGCGAGCGTGTGCGGTTGGCAGAGGCTGGGTGGTGCTTGACGGAGATTTAATGCTCTCAATGGTAGCCGCATCGGAGTGCCTTCGACCCAGAGCAGCCCATCCTGATGGAAACCGTTCTCCTTTCGCCCAGATCTTCCACGTACAGTTCGCCTGAAATAAAAATGACCGAAACATAAAGATCGATTCATCATCGGTCACAATTGAATTAATTAATATGCCGCAATTGAATCTCGATGCCAGTTAGAAATTCTCCGTCGATGAACCTTTCGTTTTCAATAGCGCACGCCGTAAATGGCAGTGGCGCTATTAATATTCGCGCTGCAGTTTCGAGATTAAGTCAGGAGGAGAATCGATGATTCACGCGTTTATCGCGAACGTCCGTAACGAGCGGCGGCGGAGGAAACCCGCGATCCGGCGTTGCGAACAATTAATCGTATCTGCGTCACGATCGTATATGCGCGATCGAAAGTAAAAGCCGCGCTCTATCTCGTCGACTCGCCAATCAGCCGTTGTTATCGGCCCGAATGAATATTTCATCGCCGACCGCGAAATTGCGCGTCTTGCCGGGGCGTTTCGGGTAACGCGATCGCGTCGCGAAACCGACTTCCACAATTTCGCGGCTCACGATTTCGCTCCGTCCTGAATTAGCCGATGGCCGATGGATCGACGTAATCGACGCCGTCGGCGTGATAGCGGACTCGGCCGACGGGGTTTCGTCATGCCTTTCGTGTCCGAAAGACTGCTCCTTAAAAGGTATACGTCACGAACGTTTGTTACACCCGCGGTTTACGACGTGAGCTCTTTTATTTCTGCCGGGGAAAAGGAAAGAGGAAAATACGCGGAGGAGGACATAGGGGCGACGAATCGAGAGATTGACGTCATGCGATCGAGAGGCGTGGGCGACGCGCGTGGTATCATTGGCACCCCGGTGGTTATTTCTCGCGCGTCTCGATTCAGCCTGAACGACTATCGACCGAAAACGGCGTCAAACACGCCTACGTTTCTCATCGCGGCACTCAGGCGACTATTTTCGCCGGAGTGCGGGATGGAAATAGATTCTGGCCGCGGTACTCTCCCTCTGGATTAATGCCCGTCGTCGCTTTCGTTCAACAACGAGACAATCTCAACCTGTCGTCCGCCTTCGGAATGGCGGCAATTCACGGGCTTCATTGGCGAATAAAAAAAAAACGGTGTCCTTTGTCCACCATCGGCGATATTAAATTACGGCGCAAAAGAATCGCTTTCTCAACGATTCGTTTCAACACGTAGTATTTCGCAAAAAAAAAATCTTTGCAATCTCTGAAATTAGAGCGCGACCGATTAATTAAATATCGTAATCCATGCGATCATCGATTTTTATCTATCTCGTCACTCTATTCCGGACATCGCTCTTTATCGCGTTAAGGCGTTCCTCGAATAGTTATTATAGTATCGGTTTTCAAATAAACATTAACAATCTTATCGAAAAGGCGCGATCAACGAGACACTTAGGATTCCTTTAATTGATAAAAAAATCGATATTTTCTACTTCAAAATTCTTCACTGGCATTCCTGCCTTGTGTAGGACGATAAACACACTAGTCGAGGCATCGAAATGTGGAACGACCTACGACACGCCGCTTTCGTCCGGAAATCTTTCTTTTCGTCCGGACGAATATGACTCGCCCAAACAATCCCGGCGATTATCCCTTTGTTCCCTATCGGGGCTGTTGGGTAACCCTACTCGTTTCGCTTTCTTACGTTGTCGCCATTATCAGATGACAATGGAGAGCCTAATCCCATAGAAAATTAGTCTCAAGAATTGCCGTAGGTGCAAAGGGGATTGTCGGGCTCATTTTGTTCTAATAGCGCCAAATGACGCACGTCGGGACGTAGAATCGGTAAATATTGAGGAACGCAGGATTAACGTTGCTCAACATTTTCACCCCGCGATACTCGCGAAATGTGCATACATCGAGACGCGTCACGCGAGCCTAGCATGTCGATCGTGACGTGCATGACAGTCCAGAAACTCCAGACTACATAGCGGCGCTTCGCATCGCGTCGCGCTTGGAAAGCTGAGGAAGCGGCGTTTAAGACTCCCCGGTGTCTCTCGGATGCTCGGCAAAAATCTCGCAATTCATCATTGCGAGTGAAAGCGTCGCCGTTTTCGCGGGACGAAATTCGCGTCAGCGATACAATTATCCTGTCAGTTGACGCGTCACGATTGCTCGAGGACTAGAATCCGTAAGCGGCATGTAAGCGGCAAGAACATTCACCATGCTTTCATATTTTTCGATTCCATCAATGGATGGCGAATTGCGTGAAACAATCCGTAAATGTTTTGCATCGATCAAGTGAGATCTGATATTGAAATTGCTTGTACGAAAGTTATGGCAGTAACTTTCGCGTAATCAATAGTGGACGATCAATAAGATTTTTTTCAAAGATCATTCTTCACTTTTTATCGCAATATTTTTTCAATGAGAGTTTCAGTTTTAATAATCGTCTACCTTTAACTTGAGCGATCGCGAACAAAGCCACAAAGCGGGATATGTAAATTACAGATTCCGCGGAAGTTACATATGATGATACTTGCTTCAACCGCGTATGATGATTTTCACGCCAGTGAATCACATTCATGGTCGTTTCATTTGTCTACGCCGACAAAGCTCTCCGTGAGATTTTTTCCACGAACGCGTTACGAAGTACGTGATTCATTGGCAAGCCTCGCGAAGTAAATGCTTCAATTTTTTTTTTTTTTTTCAAAGCAGCCAGGCGCGTCGATTGCGCTAACAATTATATCATTCGGCCGTTAATTGGCCCAATTGCGGAAGAGTTGTCGTAAAAATTTTATTAAAACTCGCGCGATACCTGGCGATCGAGCGAAAAAGAAAGATGTATCTTTTTTCAACCGTTGCTCGGGTGTATTTGAAGGACTCGTTTAGACCGCTTCTTATGCATTCGACACAGCTGTTTCATATTTCGCTCTATAAATCAAGTTTTCTGGTTGAAAAAGCATATTCTTGGGAAGCTCTCGAGCGAGCAGAGGCATGCGCATTTACGAAAGTTGTTGCTCGCCGAAACGAACACCCTTGAGAGTCGAAGGCTCTCCGAAAGAAGGCCGCGATGTCCGCTCTCACGGTCCATTAAGCTTCAGAAAGCGAGCGTGTCGCGCGTATACGTGTGAACGATCCATAAATAAAGCGGCCGTTCCTAGACCCGCATCCTGCCGTTCTGAAAGCTTCTTGGCTGAGCAAACGTATCGGGCTATTACTTGAAAAGTGTGGCGAAAGTTTGTGTATTAAATTTTAAAGCCATCATTTTAATTTCTTCGCTGACGCAACGGTGGATGCCGGAAGCTAGATATTTTATAGTTTCTCCTGTTCACTTATTTGTCAATAAAATACTAACAAGAATCGTCCGTTCTTGTGTAACGTTCACAGGCAAATCTGTATAGACATATTTTGGTGTCTTATATAAATATGTTCGGACGAAACTAAGCTGGAACATGTCGTATTTCTCATGCGTGCAAAGCTTTTATCTCGGCGTTTCAAATAGGAAAAAAGGAAAGTCGAGCCGACATTCTGCTGTGCAATTGTAGCTAGAAGAACAATGACGCGTCGTGTCGCGTCGTTGCAACTCTCTCTTTCCATGGAAAAACGTGCCTGGGCAAACAGTAACGAAATATGTGACTGCCTGTAACTTCTATTGTAAACTTTGATATTAGTCGTGACAGAAAGAATAACAGTCTTTCATTATTTGTGTCGAAAATGTATGAAATTGTAAAAGTTTAAATACGAAAAATTATTCTAAAAGTAAAAATAAATGTATAAAAAAAAAAGTAATTATTTAGAATTATATTTTATTAATTATTTCAACTCATTTTATTATTATTTTTTAAATATTTTTTATTAATAAATCTTTGGTAAAGGCGTGCACGTATGCACGTAGCTTCTTCTCATATTTTTTCTTAATACATGAATTCGGTAGCATCCGCGATTACTACGTCGGATTTTCGGTACGACGGTCTATGAATATGTAAGAGCTTCGACGGATGGAAGACGTCACGAACGGTTGCAGGAGCATAGCAACTTAATGCACGTCGTTGCACGTTTCATTCCATCCCTTGCGGTTGGACCATGTCGCATAAAATTGAGGAAGCCGTTTGTTTCTTTAGATTCCGAGATAGGGCCGGGAATGCGTGTTCTATCTACCGGGTGACCCTTTCGAATCGTTAAATCTGTCAAATGACCGTTTAATCATCAGTTACGCTAATTTTTCAACGCGGAATACGGAGGGACGTGTACCGCTAAAAAATGATTAATAAAAACTGTAAAGCCGGCTACGTCGAGGCAGGAGGATCTCACGATGATCCCGGGGTCAAGGACGGTAGAGGTTTCCGAGGGAAATGCAAGGACCAAGTCTTCCGTTCGCGCTTCCTTTTTACTAGCCACTTTTTTCCGTTGCGCTCGGTCAACGTAGAAGATCCTGTTCAACAGTCATTCATTTTTCACCTCATTCCTTCACGCTCTTCTGCCTCCTGTCAGTCCTGGCACGTCATCACGGCCAAACAGGTACCCCGTCCGTTTTTTTTTTTTTCTTCTCCCTCCCCGGTCGGTCACGTCGCGCGTACTCGCAAGCGCCATGAATTATTTATTCGCGAGGATCATTGGGAGGAACACCCTCGAATTCCGATGAATGTCCTCGATTTTCCACGCAGCCTGGCCTCCCTTCAGCCGTTTACCCTTTCCTGCGCGCATCGCAAGGACGAATATTGGGATTTCATGGTTGCTGGTGATGAGCCGCGGAAAAAAAAGGAGTCGAAGACCAGGGGAAGGCCAGCAAGGCGCTTCCTTCATAAGTCCCGCATAATGAGATTTGCGGCCGCATAAAGGAAGAAATATTGCGAAATGAGATTATGTTTTTGACGAGAGCAATCGCATTTTCCACCGCACTTGGTTCAAATGTGCGCGTATCCCCATTGAGTCTAATACCGTACATACTATTATCTGATTATTATTAAGAATAAAAATAATCTCAACCATCTATTATAACAAAATTGCATTTCGAAAGGAGTAAAATTAATCTTCTACAACATTCACGAGTTTTATCTTATCTTTCTTACGCAATTTAATCTTTTAGTTTATTCCCGCGGTCACGTTTATCCC